TATCAATAAAACTCCAACTCTCCTTATACAAATATGCAAAATATGGGTAATAAGATTTACATAAGAACCAAATATAAGGAATGCTAAGGACGGGAAAAGGTACTTTTCTTCTTTCTCTTCTGTCTTTTAGATAGAAATCAGGAAAAAGAGAAGAATCTCAGGATGGTTACTTGGTATTAATGGGACAATGCTAATTAATTTGTTACTAAGAGAGGACAAAACTAATAAACTTTTGCTTTCTTCTGTTTTCTGTGCCAAGCAGAGTGGTCTTTGCACTGTCATGAACAGAACAAAAATGACTAATAGGGAGCTGAAACCCAATGAATGTAAAGGTATAATTACAAAACATTTTGTTACTCTCGGTGAGTTTAAGTCATTAGGCTCAGATGCACTGCCTACTGAGTATTGAAAGAACAGCTGAATGTGATTACTGAGGGGCTATCCATAACCTTCAAAAGAGCATGAGAAGGATATAGGACTAGGAAGATGGTAGAGTAAGCTGGTTTTCAGAACAACTCCCAAACCCCCTTATTTCAAATCAGTCAGAAATATGCCTGGTATATACTAATTAAGTTTGTATCAGAAGATGAGAAACATCTCCACACAACCTAAGGCTCACTGAAATGATAGTGGAGCAATGAAGAATTCAGGCTCTCACCTCTGGACCAACACATTCTGTCTGACCCTCTAGAATTCCATTGCAAGGTCTGGCTTTGGTGGCTTCTATCACTCCTTTCTTACAACCCAAATCTGATAGCCCCCCTTCCAATCCCCCACTTTACCTACTCCTTAATGTGAAGCAGAACATCGCTCTTACCTACCCCCATAATTAGAGAGAAGAAACAACTTTGTGCGTGGGAGGAAACCTAGCAGTGCAGAGATGATCTGTGGAAAAGAAGAGAAGGGTGCCAACTCAGATGTAGTCATCCCCCGCCTTGGTGCAAAGTGAGCTCTGAAATCACTCAGCCCTAGTGGTGTGGACAGGAGAAAATGTTGAAGAACAACTGACTGGGGGAGGGGCTAAATAGTGTGGAACCTTAACATAATAGTACCTAATCAGAAAGAAAGGGGAAGGTGGCAAGAAGGCCGACAGAGACAGTTGGGAAGGAGCCAGACTCTCAAAAGGAAAAACAGAAAAGATACTCATGAGGAAAGAAGAAAAAATGAGTAAGAAAACCAGGAAAGATTATAACACACACACACACATGCAAATTATGCTATAATTGAAAATAACCTGAACCTCCTCAGGACTTTTGTCTAAGGTAGCTACTTGAATGGAGGCAGGCTGCTCAGTACATAACACCCACTCCACAAAAACCTAAAAATAGCACCAGACTGAATAATGATCAAGAAATACATGAGGAACTGTAGTAACTTCATCCTACTCCAGAACTCTGCAAGAAGTTGAGAAGCTGGGCAATAGAAAAAGGGGTCCACCAGAAAAGCCAATGCTCGCAGACAACAATATTGTTTTAAGAACAACTTTGAATTGCTGAGTCATTTTGACTATTATAAATACATAAATTAAAAATAAAGGACATATGAAGAAGATGCTTATTGCATCTAGAGAAAAAAACTGATAAACAGAAGTATGTATTTGTGTCTAATCTTAGCCATCTCTAGGGCAGGAGGGAAGGGAGGGAAGAAAGGAAAAAAAGAAAAAAGGCAAAAAATTTACATGGTATATTTATAGGGAATGACAAGTTGTACATGGTAAATTTGCAGTTTCATAAGCAATCTTTTTAATTGTACTGTGTTATGGAAATGCTTGTTTTGTTCCATGAATTGAAAATAAAATAAATTTGTAATTACCTCCTCCCCAATAAATAGATAAAGAACAGCATTTGAAAAACCCTTAAAAAAAAAAAAAGCCAGTGCCAGCAGACAAGACAGAGGCCTCCCAGCACAACCAGAGATTGACCAAAGAAATCTGTAGCCTACAAGGCTTATCTTTATTTATTTATTTATTTGTTTGTTTGTTTGTATTTCGTAGTGAAAGGCTCTCACTAGAAAGCCCCAAGGTAGTTGGAAACCTACAACATGTAGCTTGGAACCAACTGGAAGCAGGAGTGACCATTCTGGGTACATAAGGGCTCAGACCAGGACACTTCAGATCCAGAGCACTCTTTCTTAGGAGATCATAGAAAGCCCTCATAGTCCAAGAATCTAAAACCTTAGATATCCAGAAGGGTCTAAAACATATCGGCACTATTACACAGGAACCCAGGTGATGTAGGTTGAGATGAAGCAAACCCAACCATCTCACCCAAAAGCACATCAGGGGTAGAGGCTGCCTCTGGCATAACATCCACATTTAAGAACTAAGGTTGGAAATATGAATAAATAGGAGAAGACACTGAAGAAGAGTGACTATTCCATAAAAACTGCAAGCAGAGACTCAGAAGAAAAATGGATTTTTCATAAGAACTACATGAATATCTGAAAGAAATGAAGCAAGTGATAAAAAATTAAAGAAAAGCTGGAAGGAAAGCATATAGCTTAGAATAGAAAGTGATATGTGGATGGAGCACCGACTCTGAAGTCAGGAGGACCTGAGTTCAAATCCGGCCTCAGACCAAACACTTGACACTTACTAGCTGTGTGACCCTGGGCAAGTCACTTAACCCCAATTACCTGAAAAAAAAAAGAATAGAAAGTGATAAACCTTACTCAAGTAACAGACTTCCTAAAAATTATAGTAGACCAAACATAATCCAATGGCTCCATGAAACAAGAAATGTTAGAACAAAAAGAAAATATTGAAAAAATAGAGGAAAATGTGAGGTATTTGCTAAAAAAAATGACCTTAAAGACAAGGAGAGAAAATTGAAGAATGATTGGACTCCCTGAAAACAAAATATATGCATATATATGTATATATTTACATGTATTAAAAACCTGGACATTTTAATTTGAAGAAAGCATAACTGAAAACTGTCCAGGTCTATTAGAACCAGAGGACAAAGTAAAACTATAAAGAATCCACCAAATACCTCATGAAAGAAACTCCAAGAAGAAAAGTCCCAGAAATACTATACCCAAAATCCAGAATTTCCAGGGCAAAGAAAATAATCTGCAAGCAGCCAGAAAGAGTCAAGTACCAAAAAACCACAATCAGAATCACATAAGACCTAGCTGCTTTTATTAAAAATGAGAGATCTTGGAATGCAGTATTCCAAAAGGCAAAAGACAAACCTTACAATGAAAAATAACTTACCCTGCAAAGGACATGTGTGTGTGTGTTTTAAAGTGACTACAATCCTACGGGGGGAGAAGGATTATTAATGGAATAGAGGATTTTGAAGCGTTTCTGTTGAAAAGACAAGTTGAAAAGGTACTTTGAAAATAAGCATGAGTCAAGAGGAACTTAGAAAGGTAAATTTATCTGAGCAACTGGAAGGGCTATTATATTAGGATGAAGTGCTAACATTCTGGTAGGGGAAAAACAAGTGTCCCTTCAGAATCATATTTTCAGCTGGTTTAAAGACAAATGGGAGTGGAGATGGATTGGCTCTGTTCTGAGGATTTTCAGAAAGCAAAGAAAAGGCAGATTAAATGGAATATTCTAGGGTAGAAAGGAGAAAGAAAGGATTACAATTTACTATTTCTTAGAAAGCGGGTGTGTGCAAGAAGAGTATGCAAACATGGAGGAAGAAGTGGGAGAAAGGGGACATTAGATGAACCTCTTATCAAAACTGGACAAAAGAGGGCAAGCACTCACATACAATTTGATGTAGAAATGTAGCAAATTCAAGAGAGAAATAGGAAGGGATAGGAAGAGAAAAGGTTAAGAGGGAGGGTAGGGTGGATCTTTTTTTAAAAAACTATTTTTTGTTGGTTTTCAACATTCATTTTATAAGATTTTGAGTTTCAAATTTTTCCCCTCCCCAAGATGGCATGCAATCTGATATAGGCTATACATGTACAATCATATTAAACATATTTCCACATTAGTCATGTTGTGAAAGAAGAATCAAAACAAAAGGGGAAAACCATGAGAAAGAAGAAGCAAAAAAAGAGAGGAAATAGTATGCTTCGATCTGCATTCAGACTCTATAGCTCTTTCTCTGGATGTGGATAGCATTTTCCATCATGAATCTTTTGGAATTGTCTTAGATAATTGCATTGCTGAGAAGAGCTAAGTCTAGCAAAGTTGTTCTTTGTACAATGTTCCTGTTACTGTGTACAATGTTCTACTGGTTCTACTTATTTCATTCAGCATCAGTTCATATAAGTCTTCCCCAGTTTTTCTGAAATCTTCTTGTTCATCATTTCTTGTGGAACAATAGTATTCCATTACATTCATATACCACAACTTATTCAGCCATTCCCCAACTGATGGGCATCCCCTCAATTTCTAATTCTTTGCTGCCACAAAAAGAGCTGGATAGGGTGGATCTTGAAGAGCAGATTAAAAGGGGAAAAACTAAGAACTGTAAATTAAAGAGCAGATTAAAAGGGGAAAAAACTAAGAACTGTAAATTAAAGAACTGCCCTTCAATTGGGATAGCTGAAAAAATTATGGTACATTAATGTAGTGCAATAATGTAGTGCCAGAAGCGATGATATAGACAATTTCAGTCAGTCTTGGGAAGACTTGTATGAACAGTTGTAGGGTGAAGTAAGCAGAACCAGAACAATTTATATAATAAGACAGTATTGTAAAGAAACAAAAAAATTATATACTTAAGAACTCTGATCGAAGCAATGACCAGCCACAGCTACATCTTTCCTGGTGGAGAAGTGCAGAAAGAGCCATATGTTTTCAGACATGGACACTGTGTGGCACTGTTGTGATTATTGTGACTTATTTGTCACAAGAGTTTAAAAAAAACTTTTACAATGGGAAGGATTTGGGGGAAGAGGGTTACTAGCAATAGTGATGCTCAAAAAAAGAGAAAAAAAAAAAAGACCATTGAAGCACAAAAATAAATGTCCAGAAGAGAGCAGAAGGAAATTCAGAAGGAGGCACAGATAAGTGAGACAGCTTTGAAAGTAATATGTTGAATGTCCAGTGAATCCTCAACATTTGTGGGTTTAATTTGTGTGACTTCAAACATGCGAATGATTTTATTAGTGATCTCATTTTTACTTTCACATCGGCAACAATGCACATTCATTGCTAGGCACAGTAGAGAAAAAAATGAGAGGCATGTCCTTGTGGATGGGTTGGTGTCCTACTGGGCTCTTCACTGGTCTTGTTTACCCTACTGTTGTAAAGAGCTCCCATTCATTTATTGCATATTTTAATTATATGCATTTAAAACTCAAGTTTTGAGTTGCAATTATGCCCCCAAAGCTAATGTAAATCCTTTAGGCTCTAAGCCCAAGTGTGGAAAGTCAATGATGCTGCATAGTGAGAAAGTAAAGATATTAGATAAACTTCATGTTGGAATTTATTCAGCTGCAAAAGATTATAGTTTTTGGTGGTTGAGGGAACCTAACTTCCTATTTGCCATAAGTTCATGTATCAACATTTGTGTTTCTTACATTTGTGCTGTTTGGGGAGGAACATTACCCCTCGGAAAGTTGAGGATTGACTGTATTATGTACTTTTTTAAAAAGCAGGCTATATGACATAGAGATCCATGGTTTCTTATAAAATCCTCCTTATGTTCTACTTTGTATATGGGAATGCTTATATTTTGGAGGTATTTTTAAAGTTCAGAATAAAAAATTAATTTAATTTTAAAAGAACAAAGAGGGATCTTTGAAACAAAAACAAACCGAAAAAATAATCCCAAATAAAAAAGAATATAAGACAACAAATTCTGTGGGACCATGAGAAATTATGGAACACATACCAAGTCCAGAATGGTTCAAAAGACCTATAAGAAAATTAAAAAAGAAAAAGAAGAAATACAGGATACACAATAAATCCCCTTTTCCCCAACACAAGCATCCTCTGTAGTATTAACAAAAGCCAGGAGGTAAACTGTACGATTTACAGTACTGTAAAGTATTACAACTTTACTGTATAACAGTATATGTACTAGGGCAGCTAGATGGCACAATGGATAGAATGCAGAACCTGGAGTCAAGAAGACCTAAGTTCAAATATGGCCTTAGACACTCACTAGCTGTGTGACCCTGGGCAAATCAATAGCACTGTTTGCCTCAGTTTCCTCATCTGTAAAATGAGCTGGAGAAGGAAATGGCAATCCACTCTGTATCTTTGCCAAGAAAATCCAAATGGGGTCATGGAGAGTCAGACATGACTGAAACAATTGAACAACAGCAACAGGATATGTATTACTAGGTAAGGCCTTACAGATATGCTTTGCTTTGCTATCTGACTGAACCCAAAATATCCCTTCCTGTGTCAGCAGCTACAAGGCCAGATGAAGCTGATCAGGAGCATTCTTCTTTTTGTGACTGTTCAGGGCAAGACACCTTGAACTGGACACTGTCTTGAATGATGGGACTTTTCTTATCTTGGTATTTTAGGGACACATGTTGTGCTTTGTTATGCTATGTATATTGTCATGTTAATGATAAAAGAAACACAAACATCCCGGAACTATAATTTTTTTTTTTGTGAGGCAGTTGGGATTAAGTGACTTGCCCAGAGTAACGCAGCCAGTGTTGTGTATCTGAGGCTGGATTTGAACTGTGGTTCTCATTGGTGAGAAATGAGGCAAATTTTCTTACGTGAATATGATAGAATATTATTGCACCATAAAAAAACAAATATAAGGCATTTCAAGAAACCTAGGAAGATCTATATGAATTGAAGCAGAGTGAAGAAAGTGGAATCAGGGGAACAATATATATGATTACTACAAAATTGTAAATGAAAACAACACTAAAAATCAGCCCAAACTGAGATTGATTGCAGTACCACATTGAGAGGATAGACATATTTATTGTCTGTAGCTTGTTTGTAAATAATTGTTTATATGTTATCTTCTTCATAAGATTGCAAGCTCCTTGAGGGTAGGGGCTATCTTTTATCTGTCTTTGTACTCCCAACACTTAACACAGTGCCTGGCATATCATAGGTGCTTTATAAAAGTTTATTGACTGATTGACAGTTGAAATATACTCTTCTTGTCTCAGCAGAGATAAGGGGATTGCAGAAGTAGAGTGCTGCACATACATATGTTGCGCATGTCATGGTCATTTGATTTTACTTAATTCCTTTTTTAATTTTTTTGGTTACAATGATGAAGAGTTCAGTGGGGAGATGGAAGGTTATCTGGAAATGATTGGGGGATAAAAGACAAAAGACATCAATTAAAAAAAAAACCCAACCAAGTCATGCAAAAAACCCCTTATTTCTAATTTCCCTATTTTTAAAAAATTGAGATACTAGACTTTTAGGTCAGGAAAAGTTCAGTCAATCGTTGATAATGTCACGTGCTGGCCTTGTGAATAAAAGCATATAGGACAAGCTTGTCAGATTTACAGACAAACAAAGCTGGGGAGATGGAGCACATTGCATGAGAGGCAGGATCAAAAAGGTGTTAACTGGCTAGGATCTTGGGTCCAATCCAATATGACGGAATCGAATAGGTGTAAATATTTATGTTAAAGAAAAAAAGTCAACTTCACAAGTTGGGGGCAGTCATGCCAAAAAAGGCAACAGGTTTTTTTTTTTAAAGGTCTGAGGGTTTGAAGGGACCAGAAAGCTCAATAAGAGTAAACAGGATTACCTGGCAACCAGAAAGCTAATTAATTTTAGGTTGCATGAGGTGACCATCCTACTGCATGCTTCCTGGATCTGATCTCATTTGGAGTGCCACATTTTGGGAAGGGTGTTGAGAAACCAGAGGCCAACCAGCCTTTGCCTGTAAGGTTTAGATGAAGGAGGTGGGGCTGGTAAGCTTTGAGAAGACTGGGGGATGAGAAAGGGAATGATCCTAATAGTACCTCCCTCACAGGGTTAATTCTTTTAAATTTTTTATTTATTTTGTTTTTTTGGTGAGGCAACTGGGGTTAAATGACTTGCCCAGAGTCACACAGCTAGTAAGTATTATGTATCTGAGGTCATATTTGAACTCAGGTCCTCCTGACTCCAGGGGCAGTACTCTCTTCACTGCGCCACCTAGCTGCTCCCCCTCACAAATCAAATGAGATAATATTGTAAAGCACTTATTAAGGTGCCTGGCACATAGTAAGCTATTTAATACATGCTTGTTTTCCTCCTGCCACCACCAAGAACATTTATTTTCAGATAGCTAAACACAAACTTATGTTAAACAAGAAATTGAAACCCTAGTTAAACCAAGTAGATGGTAGAAGAGTATTTAATTGTGTTCAATGAGTTTCTCACTTGGCCAGTATGAACTGCATCTCAGGGTGCTGAAAGCTTTTGTGTAAATATTTGCTGAACTGCCATTTGTGACCTTTGAGAAAACATGGCTAACAGCAGAAGTACCGCAAGATTTGGGTTTGGTGAATGTCCTGATTTTCAAAAAGGGGAAGAAGATGGATGCTTCAGGTTCAGGCTAGTGATCTTGATGACAATTTCTGTGATAATTTTAGAATAAATTATTATACATGTATTTTGAGGACTTAGGGAGGAGGTGATTGCTATGACCCAGCATATTCTTATTAAGAAGCTATGTTTGATTAATTTTCTTTTTTTTGATAAGGTTAACATAATAGTAGATTAGAGGAATGTCTTGGACATAGTTTATTTGGATTTCAGCAAGGAATTTGACAACGTCAGGTTATCCTTGTGGAAAAGTCAGGAGATGTTGACCATATGTTTAGGTTGGTTGACTAACTGGACCCAAAGAATGAGGATTAACTCATTGATCTACTTGGATGGAGTTCTTTGTGTGCCCTCGGAATGGGTCCTTGATCCAGTTCTGTCAATTTTTTTTGTCACTCACTTCAATGAAAGCATAGATAGTAAGCCCATAAAATTTAACAATGACTTAAAACTAGGAAAGTTAACTAATACATTAATGACAGAATTAGAATTGGAAAAGATCATGACTGGTTGGAATGGTTGACTAAAACAAAAAAGATAAACCTTAATAAAAATAAATATAAAATCCTTCATTTGACTGTGGAAATTCAACTGTAAAGACACAGAGGCAGTGTTACATGGAAGATTGAGTACTGGATCTGAGTTAAGAGACTTATATGTTCAGGTTCCTTTTCTTATATTTGGAATCTGTGTAACCTTGGGCAAGTTAATTTCCTTCTCTGGACTTCAGTTTTCTCATTTGTAAAGTGAGGGGCTGGTGCTTTCAGGTGCCTTCTCCTTCATCCTTGGCTAGGAGGCTGCTTGTTACCTCTATATTTTAAGCCATGCTACACAAATCTTATCCAGCTCTTCATTTCCCATCAATTTTTCTCTTCCACATCCCTTACTTTAAGTGGGCACCAGTGAGGAAAACACCTCCAAGGTCTTTGGTTTCTTGGCTAACACTTTGGAATCTATGGAATCCTTTTTTGGTTCTTTCTGGCAGTATCATTTGTGCCTAAGTGAATCACCAAAACTGGGTGGTGTTTATCCATTTTACAAGTCTTGGGAAGTTCTCTTTAATACCTTGAATACATGCCTCAAGAAGACAATAAACCTTTTTATTGTCAGCAGGTTAACAGATTAACAGAGCTACTTCAGTATCATTGAATATACAATCACCAATTATCAGTAGTATTCTTTTCTTCCTCTGACTCTTAATGAATGATGGTTCTCACCTTATAACTTCTGTGGCTCTATTATATCATTCCTTGGAGGTCAGGCAGCTGTTACCTCTTTAGAGCATCCAACCCACTCTTTAGCAAGAGCTGCAAATATATTTTATAACTCCAAGTGTACATCCATCCTTTTCCTTCCCTTTCTCCTTTGCATGATACTCTTTCACGCTCTGAGTTCTTGATAAGGGTCAAGACTTCCATATTCCTGTGTCTGTCTCTCTCTGTCTCTAACTCTGTTTTTCTGTATGTGTGTGTATATGTGTATGTGTGCGCGTGTTTGTGCGTGTGTATATTTTTCATTCATTACCCACAATTTGGAAGAATACTCTTTACTATGACGACAGTAGGAAAATTAATTCCTAAAAATTTGCTTTTATATCAAATGTTATCCTTCAAATTATTTCCTCTTTTAACTTTTCCAGGTTGATACATTTCAATGTAATTATGCAACACAAATAAATATTTTATACATATTAATGAGGCCAGAGTCACACAGTAGACAAAACTGAGTGGCTTGGCATTGAATTCCATTGTAATTTAAGTGGTAAGTTGATTCTATTGATTATGTTACCTCATGTGAACCCTAGTGTAACTGAAATCAATACTTAGGGGCTGAACATATTTGTGTGTGTGTGTGTGTGTGTGTATAGATATATACAACAAACATATACACCAATGTCTTGGATATGCATGTATGCATGTATCCAAGATGCATACACAGATGTATCCACGATGTGTGCATATGCACATGTATATACCTTTATATGTATGTACAATATAATATATACATCTATGTATGTCCATATATGCACACACGATACACATATACACATATGTATACACACAAAAGTTTTACATGAATACAAATATGTGTATAAATGTGCATGTATCAGATATACATTATGCATGGGAGGCAGATAAAGTGGATGAAGAAGATGGCCAGAGTGGAGGCAGCTTGGAGTGAAAAATGAGCCTGCTTCTAGTGTAGAATGGAAGGATGGTTGGGGAAATGACTGAGGAAGGAGAGTAGTCAGATTTACATAGGCCTATAATTATCTGCAGTTGTACTTATGGTATCGTGGAAAGAGAACTGGATTTACAGCCTGGGGATCCAGGTTTGAATCCTGACATGACAACTTATTAGCTGTGTGACCTTGAGCAAATCACTTCACCTCTTTACCTCATATGTAAAATAACAAGGTCAGACTGGATGTTCTCTACAATCCCTCCCAAATTCGCATCTATGATACTATGACCTGGTTTGTTGGTTCAAGTTAAGAAGATGAGCCAAGTTGGTTAAATTTGTGAAGACTCAGGCAGAGAAGTGAATACAAATTCAGGCCTCTCTGGAGCTTGGCTTCCAAAGTTCTTATGGATGGTGTTAGGGACAGCACACGTAGCCAATGAGAGCGGAGATTGGTAGGTAAGCAGCCAATGAGAGGCATGGGGATGGCCAGCTTCCTGCTGGTCAGTTGGCCACCAGGCTGTAGTTAACTGACCTTGTGGAGCTGAGCTTCTCTTCTTGTGCTGTTGAGTGGCCTTCATTTTGTTTCAACTTCAGATTGGAATCAGAAGGAAATATTGGTGATCTTGGTGGATCAGTCAGAGAAAGGTAGTGAGGGGAGGCTTGGCCAGAAGGAAATTCTGGTGAGTGAGGGTGGGGAGAGATAAGGGAGTGAGGATGGTTGGAACCTAGATGTCACTTGAAAAAGAGCTGACATGACTAAATGCCATAATGCCCTGACCGTTAATTAGATCTAGTCTGTTTTGTGTCCTGGCTTTTCCCCCTTCCCCTCCCCAGTGGCCTGTGACCAAGCAATTAGAAAAATAAGTAGTGGGAACCTTTGCTACTCAAGACAGTGCCTTTAAAAAGTTTTTGAGAAGACTTTAGGACATTATAGGTCTTTTTAGATCATAGCTTGATGTCAGGAAAAATAAAGTAGGATGGTTCCTTTCCTTATCCTTAATTCTCCCCATCCTTTAAACCCTGATCACAACCCTTCCAGCCTTCTCTGCTGTTCCCCAATAGGGACTTAGGAGGGTTGGGGGAAGGGAAGAAGAAGATGGGAATGTGGGAGGGACAGAGAAGATTTCACTCTTGAGGAGTTTGTACATTCTCAGTGGGAGAAGGAAATTAAAGATGCTAAAGGAAGTCCTCTTCATTCAAATGCTCATTTGGGTGCTTTCAAAGAGCTCTTGAAGGTGGAGATGAGGTAGAAGATGGAAGAAAGGTGTTCATCCCCAGACATGTGGGATTTGTAAGAGGAGAAGTGCTCAGATGGTGTAAGTATGGGAAGGAAAGCTTTACTCAGGCCCTGGAAATTCTCATTTCCATTTTTGCATGCAGAGAGTAGAGTTACAGTGACTGATTACATCAGATTTCGCACTGGGATTGGAAAAGCAGAGGGAAAAATGAATCTCTCCCGAACTAAGGATATTCCGCTTCCTGATTTACTCTGTGGGAGGCCAGATAGAGTTACCTCGAAGGAGCCACATTTTATGCTGCTGCTGTTTTCCATCATTTTTGTGTCAGGTAGGTCACCTGGTTCCTTAACCTCCTCCCTTTTCAAGTCTCTGAATCTTTCCCCTGCACCCAAAACAATTAAACCACATGCAAATCAAGGTTACACTGTATCTACAAGGTGTGCAGCAGGCTTGTCATCTTTGAGCATTTAGGGTGCATGAGACCTCAATCCAACCCAAAAGAACAGAAAATTCCTGGTACGTGATAAAATTAAATTTATTTCTAAGAAACTTTCAGGTGCTAAGGATTTTGGGGGGGGGTTGGGGGATGGAGGGTGGCACTGCAGCATATTACCAAGGGTGGTACTGAATGTCTTTCCTTAGAGATAATTAAGAATTGACTAATTAAAAGATCCAGTACCTAGCATAGTCTGGTACAGTACAGAATGGGCCTGTGATTTCATTCGTCTGAGTAGCTTCCAACAAGCACTGTTCCCGCCCTTCCCCCCCCCCCCCCCCCCCCCCCAGCAATGCAGATAACAAACTGTTATTTGACTTAAAGCCTTAGGAGAGTTGTCAGGGAATGATGATAGGATTAGTCATTTGCCTAGAGTCACATAACCATCATGTGTCATAGATAGGACCTGAGCCCAGGTCTTTTCCAAGGCTCACAGTCTAACCACTAAACCACACCAACTCTCACCTTGTGCATAGCAGGTGCTTAATAAATTAGATGCTCTCTTATTTTCAAACAGCTTAGTTGATAAATGTTTTCATTTATCCCTGCTTTACAGGGATGTGCACTAGCTGACCTCTGAAGGCTTAGAGGTGGAACTATATAAGGGTTTCATTTGTATTAGTGTGGAGATTAAAACTGTCCAACCTACAATAAGAGAGACTGAGGCAGAGCTCTGAGTCAGTGGCACTTTATCAAAGGGTTCATGGGCCCCTCTAATAAAGTGGACCTTGGATTTTCCTTATGATCTGAGATGCCTCCTTCTTATATTATTATGTTTTTATAGAGTTTGATACCCAAATATGCAAAAGAGGCATGGCAAAATACAGAATCTCATTGGTTGATAGACCTTGCTCTTGAGAGCCAAAAATGACATATCAGTGGGGAATAGAGGGTGGTCACAGATTGGGTGAAACAGGGGTCATCTCCACTGACTAAGTGGTCATAAGATGGTCATTTGCTCATGTTGGATGAGAAATAATGGTCCAGAGGTACAAAAATAAATTGGGGGACTTTCCAAAGCATCAAGGCATCCCAGCCATGATGTATTTGGACATGGAATTTGAGCAAAACAAGATGGAAATATCTTTGTCAACATTCTTGTGGTTGTGCAAGTGAGTCTCATAACTTGGTAAACAAGTAGTCAACATTATATTAAAGTCTGAGGCCAACTATAAGACCCTATCTATCCCTATATGATTTATATATATATACATATATATGATGTATACTATATATATCATATATAGATATATAGAATATCAAACTGACTAATTCTGATTGGAATAGAGTAGGGGTCCAAATGAATTGATTCTCACATTCAGTACAGAACTCACTTATTTCTTAGAGAGTTCTCATTGTTTTCTGTATATTGATTCTCTCCTCCCCAACTGTTCTACTGGGGCCACCATTTCTATACCCCTGTGGGATAAAACAACAGACAAAAATCTTTGGCTTGAACTTTGCATGTTGCCAGTAACCAATAAGTCTTTTTTGATTTGTTTTAATTTAATTCCCCATGGGTAGTTGGGCAGAAACAAAAGTAGATGGCACCATTGCGATGGTAACCATAGGGATTTTGGAATTAGAAGCAAACACAGATTATCTTGTCCAACCTCATCATTTTACAGGTGAGAAAACTGAGGCCTTGAAAAGGGAAATGATTTGCTCATGATCACAGATTGTTAAGTGGCACAGCTAAGATTTGAACCCAGGTCATCTAATGCTAAATTCAGTACTTTCTACTAAGTCATACTGCCTTTTATGGTACTATTATAATAGGGTTTGGCGCATACCTAAGGTGGTCAACTGAGACAGAGAGTAATAAAATTATGTCATTTGCATTGTTTCTGATAAGAATAAACTCTAAATGTAGGTTAGTCAGAGCTTTTCAACCAAGAAAATATATGTAAACATCCAATCAAAGTCTCCTTTTACTTTATAAGGATAGTCTCCCAGCCCACTTTTTTTCCTTCTTTTTTTTTTAATGCTCCTTTGATTGAGATTTTGCTTGATTTAAATAGAATCATAGAGCGTGTAGACATAGATTCAGGTGCTAAATAAGCATTATCTGAAGACAGAACAGTAGCAGCTAGGTGGTGAGATACAGCACCAGGCCTCGATTGAGGAAGACCTGAGTTTAAATATGGCCTCAGACACTTACTATGTGATCCTGGGCAAGTCACTTCATCCTGTTTGCCTTAGTTTCCTCATCTGTAAAGTGAGCTGGAGCAGGAAAAAGCAAACCACTCCAGTATCTTTGCCAAGAAAATCCCCAATGGAATCACGACTGAAATACGACTGAAATATGACTGAATAGCAGTGGGTAAAGAAAAGAGCATCAGTCTTGCCCTTCTAAGATATAGACCAGTAATATGTGTTACTTATCCACCCCAAATGAGGAAGGTTTCAAATGAGAGGACTGGTGAGGGACAATACAATTTTGGTTAATTATTTTGAATTGGGTTGCTTCTTTTTAACGTGTATGTTTTGTGTGTTTTCTTTAGGAATGTTGAGGGTTTTATTAAAGAAGTATGAACCAGCTATCCTGACAAGTCTTTCTCTTTTGGGATTTTGCATAGGACTCCTGGGCCGTGAATTTAATCAGGTATCATAGAAATAAGTTAAAGAATGGGATGAAAATAAGTTAAATGGAGTAAATAAAATAAGTTAAAATGGGATAAAAAAAAAGAAAGCAAAAGCAGGTTCTCTTCTTTCTTGAGTGTCTGAAACAGTGTTTATGTGAAAATTCACTTGAAAAATTGTATCCAGTATTTAAAACATTTTCAAAAGTGAGAAACCATTTTGTAAATAAAGGAGAAATATGGATTAGAAAGGCTTAAGCCCTGGAATTTAGGAATTCTATTTTTGGGGTCCTTGGCTTCTCCACTATCTAGCTATCATTTCTCTTTTCCTATAACTGGTCCATTTTCCTTTGTCTACAAATATGTGCAAACTTATCTCTTTTTTTTTAAACTTCCCTTGACTCTTGTCCTGCCCATTTTCCTACGTTTCTTGACTGCCAAGCCTTATACACAAAAGGTTTCTTATCAGCTGGTTCCCCTTCTTCAGCATTGTGCATAGCACCCAAAGGAAGGCAAGGCCACTTGGTCCATAAAAACAGAATCATACCCCATGAGAGAAGTGCAAAACTTCAAATGCAGAGCCCGTGTGTCCTATCCTGCAGCTCCTCACATGATTTTCCTTCCCTCTGTTTCTTCGAGTGCTAGTTTCTTCGAAGGCTCAGCTCAGTCTACTTTCTACATGAAATCTTTCCTAATATTTTTGTCTCCTAGTGACTTCCCCTTTCCCAAATTACCTTGTATTATTATTATTTTTGTTGTGGGGGGAGGGAGGCATATATTTATATATGTATGTATCATCATCCCCCATAGAGTGTGATCTTACATTTGTATCCTCAGTACCCACCAACATACCCTGCACTTAGCAGTGTTTATAGCCCCTGACTATTCAATTCGCCTAATTATTTGATCTTTCTGGTGGCATGGCAATATTCCTATGCAGCCTTATTCTGGCTTCTACTTTTTTGACAAAACCCTTTTTCTTTTGGCTTGCTGCTTCTAGAAGTCCCCTCAAAAAGACTTTTTGGTTGACTGTTACCCTATTTCCTATGTGCCTAGAAAATAATTTCCCCAAAATTCTTTCAAGAAGAACTTATGGTTGGCAGCTTTCTTGACTACCTAGTCTTGTATCTCCCAGGTGCCTCTGTGAGAAGACTTTCTGACAAGCAACAATCTTGTTGTCTTGGTCAGCAAGATTGACTGCTTTGGTCAAAAGATTAGTGCATAGGGTCAATAAAAGAACTTTAATGAAACAAAGCTGTATCTGTTGATCAGTTTTTAGAGGGGACATCCTGATTAAATATGAGCTAGCCTAGGTAAATACTTCTATCGAAGTATCCACCCTCAAATATTAATGGATAGAAATTAAGATTAATCTTTGGTTTCAATCATGGAGGCAACTCCCATACCTGGAGTACAAATAACAATTCAGTCTCCCTTCTATAGACACTGGAGAATCCATGTAGGTGTGTGTGTGTGTGAGTCCAGTCATAACTGCCTGTTCCTCCCGCTGAGGTGCTTCTGCCTCTTATCTGGGGGCCTCTGTTGGTATTGTGGTCAGTTTAGGAAGAGCAGGGATAATACCAGGATCCCACAGTGACAAAGCTTCCCTTGAATCTCCCAGCCTCCATGACTAGTGCTCTATAGACCACAGGTCTGGATTCCACCTTCTTTCCCCTCTGGCAACAATTACACTCTCCAGGTTTAGGTGTTGGTGGTCTCTGGGACCCCCTGGCAGCTTTGTAGACCACAATATGGTTTAGCAAGAAAATATTCCTGATCCATAAGTGGTAGAAGCAGTCAATCAAAGTCCTCTTCAGAGGGGTCCACTCTTGCATAAAACTAGTTCCCTCCAACTTGTGTGGGAAACCACTATGAAATCCTTGCCTTCAACATAACTGGCGCCTTCTTGTCCCCACTGGTTCTTGGTATCTGCTTGTCAACCTTGAATGATCTCCTTTTTGTGGGCAGTTGAAGCACGTCATTTTGTCTTCCCTACTGTCTTCAATAGTGTCACACTGAACCAGCAGGTACCAACTTCCCTAGTAAATATCAGGGTTTCCAGAACATGTTGTGCCATAAAAGTGGAGAGACCCTGCCTGGAATTAAAGAATTTCAGAGGCTAAAAGGGAATTCTTATCCAGCTTTTATCCAGCCTCTCAATTTTACGTATAAGGAAACTCAGGACTAGAAATGTTATCACTTGCCCAAGGTCATACAAAATACTACTGGCTGAGGCTGGACCAGAACCCAGCCATTCCTCCTTCTTATAGGTCATCAACCCAATTCTGATTATGCCACTAGCGTATATCTCCATGGGTCCCTTTCCCTGCAGGCTGTACCCATTGCAGGACTCTAGTGTTGCCTATCGATAAAAAGAACAGTGACCGGGGATTGTTTCATGATTACTTTAATGTCATTAGAATAATGGACTGGTGCCTGCTCTCTCTTATTGTCAAACTTCTGGGCCAGTTGGGGATGGGCTGCCATTCTTGCTAAATTAGGCCTTTGTGTCAGTGTGGCAGGAGCTAAGTGAGTGTGGGTGAGTGTAGGTGTGTGTTTGAGTGAATGTGAATGAATGTGGGTGTGAATGAGTGTGCTCACTCCTTTGATCATCTTCAGAAGCATCTGAGGATCCAGGGGGCTAAGGAGGGTTTGCTTGGGGCAGAAAAAACACAGATGTTGAAGCCAAGAACCTGAGTTTAAATTCTACCCAGCTGCTACTTGCCAGATATGTGACCCCAGACAAGTCACTCAACCTCTCTGGGCCTGAGATTCTTGACCTAATTTGGACTCGATGATCTCTGAGGCCCCTTCTGGCTCCAGCTCTTTCGTCCTGTGAGGGGAACCCATTTGGGTCTGAACCTGGAGATCCCCCCCCCCCCCCCCGAGGCAGCTGGAGATCTGAGGGTCTGCTTTCTAGAGGAAGTCAGGCGGATGGTCTGCAAATGTCTTATTTCGTTCCAATGATGAACCTGAGCCACCAAATTAGCCTAAGTCAGGCGTGGCCAACAGCAGCAGTTCTGGCATCTCCAAACTTGGACTTGTCCATGTAAGGAGAATTGAGGAGGAGGAAGAGGAGAGAATGACTTTTGGGCTCCTGACAGCTGGATCTGAGAAATATCTGACCTTTCAAAATGTGGCTGTGGACTTCCCCAGGAGGAATGGGGGCTGTTGGAACCTCCTCAGAAGGACCTGCTTTGGGATGTGATGCTGGAGAATTATGAGAACATTGTGTCCCTAGGCCTTCCAGTTTCCAGACCAGTTCCTATCTCCCATTTGGAGATAAGAGAAGCACCAGATCTTCTAGCAGGAGAAACCCCGAGAAGCACATACCCAGATTCCATTTTTCAGACCAGTTGTGAAACCAAAGTTTCAACCCCAAAGCTGGGTATCTCTATGGGAATATCATCTAAGGAGAGAATCACAAAGGATTGTCCCTAGAATTCTGAACTGGGAGAAGCTTGGAGTTGTATCCTCAAGTCAAAGAGACAGAAGAGCAGCAAGGGAAGACTGCACAGAAAATTAACAGTAATTCACAGAACAATTATTAATAAAGTAAATATTCATGAATGTAATACTTTTGGAAGAAACATTAGTCTGGAATCAATATTCATTCTACAACAGGGAATTCCTACAAGCAATTGTTTCTGCAAATATGATACACTTGGAAAATTTTTAAATGAATTTCACAACTAATTAAATATAGTATGATTGCTTTGGGAAATAAACTTTGTAAATATAATAATTATAAGAAGCCCTTTACTTAACATTCATTACCATAGAGCATGTGCTCAAGGAATACACTCTGAGTATAAATATGGTAAAGCCTTTAGCATCATTGTACCTTGCTGCACAACAAAATAATCATATTGGAAAGACATCCCCTCAATAAATGTAATGAATATGGGAAATCCTTCAGTAATGAGCAATACCTACCTGAACATCAAACAGCTCATACCGGAGAGAAATCTCATAAATATAATAAATGTGAAATGCGGGAAAGTCTTCAGCTAGAGGTCATCCCTTAGGTGACATTGAATTAATTAATCCTGGAAACCCTATGTATGTAGGGAGAATGTAGGAGAATCTCCAGGCAAAAGGAATTCCTTGAAATACATAATTTCATACAATACATTCATAAAGGTGAGAAACCCTTTGAATGGAATGAATATGAGAAAACTTTCAGAAGAAAGACTATCAGAAAGGATTCTGGGAAAATGGTGGAGTAGGTCTGAAAATTTGAAGCTCTCAAGATTTTCCTCCATAAAAGAGATAAAATAGCACCTCTGGATGAACTTAGATCTGTGAAAACAAATAAGAGTAGGGGCAGAAGAGGGATCTTCTTGTGACAATTGGAGAAGATATGAAGAAAAATCCCATTAGAGATTTCCTCTCTGTGAAGAGCAAACACCTCCAGGCTAAGGTGCATTTAAACAACAAGTGGCAAGCCCTGGGGTTAGCTGGTTTGGGAGGGGAATGCCAGACCCAGCTACACTATGGAGACAGTGGGGGCCAGAAGGAACCAGCACATGCCCGGTGAGTGCAGAAGCAGTGGGGCGGGATACTGCTGGCCGTGGGCACTTACAGGAGGCTAGAGATCTTGGTTTGAGTTCAAGGTCAGAAGGGAGAACTGAATAGGATTAGAGGCCAGAGGCAGCATCCCCCATACCTCAGGACTAGAGGGGATTATTAAAATAAACTATTACCAAAAAAATGCACAGGCAAAGGAGAAAGAATCCAACCATAGAGAGCTACTGTGGGAATAGAGAAGATGGGCGAATAGAGAAGATCTTCAGAGGAGGGTAATGAAGCAAAGAAACCCCAAAGAGTAATGTCAAATGGTCACCTGCCCAAAAGGAATTCACTGAAGAACTTTGTTACTAGTAATTAGGTAACTTATAAGGAAGATTGGGGTAGACCTGAGTACGATATGACTTAAAAAGTAAAACCATTCAAGTACGGCTAAAAGAGCAGTTATCTTTTACAAATAAGGTGCAAGAGGAAGAACCAGTGCAGAGGAATTAGATAAGGGAGGGGAGCTATTATTCTGGAAACCTACTCTCATCGGGAATGGGTTTAAGAATGAGAGAGATTGAGGAAAAACTAAAAAAAAATAAGGATAATGTAAGAAAAACAAGAAGATTGTGAAAAGAAAGTCAACCAATTAGAAAAGGAGACACAGAATCTTAAGGAAGAATATGACTCCTTGAAAATCAGAATTGGGCAAGGGAAAGCCAGTGAAGTTATAAGAGATGAAGAAATAAAAAAAATATATAATGAAAAAATAGAAGAGAATGTGAAACATCTCATAAGAAAAACAACAGATCTAGAGAACAGATCAAAAAGAGAAACATATGAATAATTGGACTACCTGAAAGTTCTGATAAAAAAAGAATCTTGATACAATAATACAAGAAATAATGAAAGAAAATTGTTCTGAAGCATTAGAACAAGAGGGGAAAGTAGAAATAGAAAAAATCCACTGATCACCACCTGAAAGAGATCCTACAAGGAAAACTCATGGGAATATTATCGTCAAATTCCAAAACCCTTAGATCAAGGACAAAATGTTATGGGCAACAACAACAACAAAAATTTACATATGACGATGCCACAATTAGAATCACACGAGACCTAGCAGTGATGACACTAAAAAATCACAGATCTTGGAGCATTATATGTTGAATAGCAAAAGAACTGGACTTCCAGCCAAAAATATCATACCCAGCAAAGCTAAGCATAATTCTGAGTGAAAAAAAAATGGATGTTTGATCAATTGTCAGACTTTCAGGTCTTTGTTAAAAAAACAAACAAACCCTGAACTCAATAGAAGATTTAACATATAAGAGCCAAGACAAATATAAGGTACATACCAATCACCAATTACAAGGGACTAAATATGGAATAGAATGTTTACCTTTTATGCATGAGAAATGTAAAACCTATGTCTAAGTTATAAGTTACCAGTTGTTAGGTAACTTACAAGGAAAATTGGGGTAGACCTGAGTGTGATATAACTTCAAAAAGTAAAACCATTCAAGTACAGCTAAAAGAGTAATTATCTTTTACAAATAAGGTACAAGAGGAAGAACCAATGTAGAGGAACTACATGTGAGAGGGGAGCTGTTAGTTCTGGAAACCTACTCTCATTGGGAATGGGTTTTAAGGGGGGAAATATATATACATTTAGAAGAATATAAAAATCTTCTAAATTTAGAAAGAAATAAAACTCCAAGGGAATAGGAAGGGGGAAGAGGATAAAGGAGGGATCTTTAGTGGTGAGGGTGTGGGAATAAGTTAAAAAGGGGATGTAGAAGGGGCTTTAGATTTAAGGGAATGGGAGGATGAGGGAGGGATTGCTGGAGTGGGGGTCAGTTAAGTAATAGGAGGGTAAGGTAGTAGGAAAAAAGAGATATGCACAAGCACAAATACAAAGATTAGGACTATAATCTCTTAGGGAAAGTATATGTTTATATATGTAACTACGTGTATATATGTATAAGTGTATGTATATATCAATATCTATATATAGATGCATCTAATGCTCAATTGTAGCCTTGGGATAGTGGATGGGGGGAGGGAGGGGAAAAAAGAACAAAGTAAAAAGTGTACAGCAGAGAACAAAAGAAAACCTACAAGGAAGCAAAGATGGACAGCATTGAACATAATGTACAGTATTTAATATATAGGCTTTCTTGAAATGAAAAGTTATTGCTACATATTTTGAATCTTCTCCTATGTTCTGCTGTGCACATGCCTTTTTTTTGTTTTTTTCTTGTTTTATATATGTTTACAATGTATCTTTTTCTTTTCTTATTCTATATTTAAGTTTTAGTATTTATCTAAAACAAAAATTAAAAAAAAAGGATTACTATCTAAACATCAGGAAATTTATACTAGAAAGAAATCTCATGAATATAGTAAGTGTGGGAAAGCCTTCACCATGACTGCACTCCTTCAAAGACATAAGCTAATTCCTCCTGAAAGGAAATACTTTGAATGTAATGAATGTGGGAAAGGCTTCAGGTACAGCTCATATATTAAGTGACATCAAAGGATTCATCCTGGAAGGCAACCATAGAAAAGTGATTAAAGTAGAAAAGACTTTGGGCAGCTAATTCAACATGAGAGAATTCATACTGAGCAATAAAACCTATAAATGCGATGAATCTAGGGAAATACTGTAGGGAAACTTTGATATCCATAAAATAATCCATACTGGGGAGAAAGCTTACACACAGAATGAATGTGGGAAAATACTTCAGGCTATGTCACTTGTCTGTGTTTCACTGATGACTACTTTCTATTCTCTATGTGTGTTCTTTTAAAAGCTTCATTGATATTCCTTTATTTCTTTTCTGGGGTGGAGGTTGTCACTCTCTGAATGTCTTTTCTGTGCTACTGTTGAATACAGTTTTTGATAAATGTTAAAAAAAAAAAAGAACAAGTGACTGAGGATGGGATTCAGATCTCTGAATCACAGCTTAAAACAGAACAGTCTCACATGTGCTCCCAGGCAGTGATGTACTTCACCTAAGAAAAGTTATTAAGAACTTGTCTGACCTTATCTGAGCATTAGTGGAGCAACACAGGCTGTGCATCTGTTATTTCTTGCTCTCACCATGACTGGTCCACTTCCCTTTCTGGTCATACATCTCTTTAATATCTTTAATGCTGCTGCTTCTGTATGTGTGTGTGTGTGTGTGTGTGTGTAAAATATATGACAGCCTATTCACTTCCAATATACATCTCTCCATTGCCTTCCTGGTAACTTGCAAACCTAATCCTTTGGAAATTGTGATATTATGATTCACAGCCACATAGCATCCCTGAAAGAATATTCCAGGAGCAGCTAGGTGGTGCAGTGGATAGAGCATTGGCCCTGGAGTCAGGTGGACCTGAGTTCAAATGCAGCCTCTGATACTTGACACTACCTGTGTGACCTTGGGCAAGTCACTTAACCTCAATTGCCTCACCCCCCAAAAAAAGATGCTCCAGGAATCCAATGGATTTATGATCTCACTGGGACAGATATTCCTGCTACAAAGTCCATTCATGACTACCCATCTTGTGCTATTCTTGTCCATGTCCTCTCAAAAGTTCTTGTGGTAATACAAAAAAGGCAAAAGACAGTCCCTGCCATCAAGGAGCTTATAATCTAATTATTGTGCTTAATAAATACTTTATGGTTTGATTGAGTCAATCAGTCAGTAAGCAATTATTAGGCTCCTAGTATGTCCCAGGCACTGCACTAAATGCTGGAGTAAGGGATTTGCTTTTTCTCTGTGCCCAAATGGGTAGATTACCAGCTTTCTAATTTTCAACAGTGTTGTTATATGTGATCCAGACCTATACTAAATGGAAATTATCAAGTAAACATTCACGTGAAGAGGTGTTTTCATATACTATAAGAGCAGATGAAGATGAAAAAATATGCAGAGCCCCTATAATTATGAGTGCTATGTCACTATAAACTATCATCATCATCATCAATCATCATCATCATCATCATCATCATCATCATCATCATCATCATCATCATCGTTGTGTTCTTTGAGTGAAGAGGAGAAAGCAGACTCTTTTTCAGCCTTCTTATATTTTCATATTTCTCAAATGGAAGAAATCACTACACTATAGCTGAACTTCCCCATCCAGCCTATGGGGCAGGTGGCTAAATTCTGTCCCAAGACATCTGTCTGATACCTATTTCTTTAAGCTTAAGTCTACGAGATTATATGAGCTGTTCTGCTCTTGCTTCTTTGTTCGGACAACGGCAGATAGATTGTTGGGCTTAGTTAGAGTCAGGGAAAACTAAACCCCAATCTCTCTCTGGATCTTTCTACTTATATAAATCTTGGCAAGTTTTGTAATATTGGTGTGCCTCAGACAACCCTTAGGTCTGATCTACTAAGTCATAACCTAGTTGGGAATCTGTGAAATTGGAGGAGTCCCTACTACCTTGAGATTCCCCTGTGCTTTGGGTATCCAAATTAGAAAACACTAAAATCTATATTGGTTAAAGTGTATCACATTGTATTCTAACCCTTCCAAGTAGTAGCATATGAACTTCTTCCCCTCCTCTTTTGTTTCTTCAGATGCAACAACTTCTCTACCCTCTTCTAAAAACAAGTAATTACGTATTTTTAAATGCTTTCTTACCATTAATGACCTTTATGGCTGCTTTAGAAATGGATTTTTATATACTCAAGAACATATTTTGGCAGGTAAGAACTATTTTCAAATAAACTCATCACCTCTTGATTATATGTATTAATGGAGGATGTGGATGATATTGGGAGCTCAAAGATACATGTTCTACAAACTACATTTATTTCAGTCTCCTTTCTGTTCATAACTACTTGGTTGGTGTTCTTGAAGAAGACCAAAATGACATCACCCTGTTAGAGTCAAAATACAGTGTGTCCGACTGTGGCTGATCGCACCAATATGAGCTTGGAATGCTCTACCACAGCTCAGGCACAAATAATCCATAGGAACATTTGGAGTGGAGATGTCTCTAAGTTTGTGTATCTCATTTCTTTTAAGCTACTGCAATTCTGCTTCAATCAGAGCACAGAACCTTCTTTGACGCGGGCACACCCTGGCCATAATTGTTTATGCATAGACAGATGGACTGATTTGGCCTTCATTCCTTTTCCCATTTCCATCCCTCTCTCTTGTGAAATGCTAATGAATAACCAAATAACCCAAGTCTGGGTAATGGATGGAAGAAAAAAAGGGAAGAGATTTTATTTAATGAGCCATCAACTAGGGGCAGCTTGGTGGCACAGTAGATAGAGCATCAGCCCTAGAGACAGGAGGACCTGAGTTCCAATCTTGCCTCAGACACTTACTAGTTCTGGGCAAGTCACTTAACCCCAATTGCTTCCAAAACAAAACAAAAACAACAAAAAGCCACCAAATGGATAATTATTTTCTGAATGGCTTTTTTGAACTTTTTTGGAAAAAGCCATTTGTCTATTCATATTTTTCTAATTAGACTAGTTGTCTTTGGAGCAGAGAGGGTGTATGGAGGAATGGTTAGAGAGCCAGCCTTAAAGTCAGGAAGGGCTGACTTCCTCCTCTGTCACATTATTGGCTGTGTAGTCCTGGGCAGATCACCTAAGCTCTCAGTGCCTCAGCAATTCCCTAAGATTATGTTGTTGAGCACGTCTTCAGTGGTACAGGAAACTTCATCAAAAGTTGCAAACATTTGCTATGGAGCTCTGTGCCCCAATGGAATCACAGATACAGTAAAAACAAACCAACAAACTCAGACCTCTAAAGATATTTCAATTTAATGGATATTTTTATTAGGTACCTACTATATCCAGTTATGACCCAATGTAGTTGCCAGTAAACTTTTCTCTTTGAGAATTGGGTTTTGTGGTTGGAATTCTTCCATGTGGAGGCAATGATGTTAAGAATCATTGTGAAGACTGAGCAGGCATTTTGCTTCATTAATCTTTTGTTCAGCCTCCTTTGACTTCAACAGAAAATCAAGGAAATAATTTGTCTCATTTCAATGCAATATACCTTGTACTTCTGCAGATTGCTATATAGAGATAACAAGGTCCAATTATAGCATTTTGAAAGTATGAAACGCTAGAGACAAGATAATTTTTGTCTACTGCCTGGATTACTCAATTAAAATTTAATATTTGTTAAATGTGTATACAGCCTTGTGAGAGATATAAAGAAATAGTAAATATGATTTCTGCTGATGAACTTACAACTTAGTTGATGAGATAAAACATAGACATATGAAGAGTTAAATAGCAGTACAGAACTTAATATAGGAGATACCACAAGGCGATGCTTCCAAATGAGTGGGGAGAGGAGTTTAGAAGAGGATGAGATCGCCTTGGTCTGAAATGAGCTGAGGAGGCAAGCGGGCTTGAGTTTGGGGCTGAGAGACTATGTAGGTTTTAGAGAGGTAGAAAGGAGTAGGAGATGATGTTTTGGAATGAGGAGACCCATGAAAGCAAAGGGAGATTGCATTATGTTCCTTTTGGCCAGCATTCAGTTGAGTTGTAAAGTCATGAAAACACTAGATTCCTATGGGAAAACAAACAAACAAAAAAAACCTGGATTTTTGAAAAAGCTGGATTCCCTCAATAAATGGTCAGTTATCATTCTCTGGGAGTATTTGGATCTTTCTAAGTGATTATATACTCGTGCTAAAAATGTAGAAATGTAAGAATAGAAAATTAGGTGGGGGCAGTCAGGGGAAAGAGCTATTAGGTAGAATTAAAAAAACTAAAACAAACAAACAACATTTGATTGGATGAACATATGATCTGAACTGGTTAAGGTCAAGATTTCAAGTTCTTTGTCTCATTTCAGAAGGGCATAACTGGGGATAGAGCCAAAAGTGAAGGGCGATTGGCAGCAGATCATTTGCCTGCTTCTTGATGGTCTACTTTCAGCCTTAGACCCACCCACACGGCCCACTTCAACCATTTGCCTTTCTCTACATGCTACAGTAGTCACTCTGCAAAAAGAGCAGTGGTGGTGGAGAGGCTGATTTTTCATGCCAAAAAATAGAGATAAACGTTGAATGGTATGTATAGTATGTGGCAGAAAATCTATAGCAATGAAAATGAAAGCAAATGCAATAGAGTTTCTCATCTTAACATTTCAAACATATTTCCACCCAATGAGCCTCAATGATTATGCCTTGACTGGCAAACCCACAATTTATTTGACTGTTATATCAGTATAACTCCATAGCATATGTTTTCAACTTTCTCCGTGTTTGCAACAGACAGCTTAGCTTTGATGACTAAAATTTGGCATGTTTATCTATACATAAATATTATTCATCAGCTCCAGTGTTTCAGAGGAGTTCCGTGTAATTATGTCATTGCTAATAAGCCCTCTCTCCATTGAAAATCTGTTCATTTTGCAATTAATGAAGGGTAAGGAGAAGGGTACCTAGGTGACACAGTTGATAGAATGCCAGGCCTGGAGTCAGGAAGACAACTTCCTGAGTTCAAATCTGACCTCAGACACTTACTAGCTGTGTGACCCTGAGCAAGTCACTTAACCCTGTTTGCCTCAGTTTCCTCATCTGTAAAATGAATTGGAGACAGAAATGGCAAACCACCCCAGTATCTTTGCCAAGAAAACCCCAAATGGGGTCACGAAGAGTTAGACACAACTGAAATGACTGAACCACAACAACAACAACAAAAACTGGATAGAACAAGGACTTTTTCTCAATCTTTAGCATTGAACTTAAGAGGAAATCAATTTAACCTGTGGCATTAGGAATTTAGGTGGCGTTTTAAGATCTTTTTGACACTGGGGATTGTTAAACTACACCAACAAAGCTGTAAATTTTTTAAAATCTCTTGAGGTCTTAGAAATAAGGTATAATTTAATTTGAAAAAATATATGTGTTGTTTGTCCTCAAGGCAGACAATTGGACGAGAATGCAATTTTGAAAAGCATCTACAAGGTCAGTGATTATATAAATAAGTAATTAAGGTTTGACTATTGAAAATAAATAAGTCTAATTATATGTTATAATTTGGTTTCACAGATCTTAATAACTGGAATTACAAGCTTTGCTGCAGCTTTCATTTTAATTGGATACATTGTTATGAAATTCAATAAGGACAAATGGGATATTCAATCTTGCATACTCTTTAGTATTACTATTGGCATTACAGATCCTCTTCAATCTGTGAATCCCTTGAAAACGATAGGTATGTTATATTTAATATGTTATTATCTTGATCTCTTGAGCAAGTCACTTGAAAATCCCCTGAATTACCTAAAAATAATCAGCATTTTATATTCAATAATAATAATAACAACTAGCATTTATATAGCACTCACTATGTGCCAGGCACTGTGCTAAATTATTTTTACAATTACTATCTCATTTGATCCTCACAACAACTCTGAGAGGTAGGTGCTTTGATACTCCTCATTTTACAAATAAGGAAACTGAGGCAAAAATGACTCACCCAGAGGCACACAACTAGTGTCTGAGGCTGAATTTGAACTCACATCTTCCTGACTCCAGGACTGGCGCTCTATCTTTTGTATCTCCTTTGTTGTTCAGTCATTTCTGATTCTTCATGACCCCATTTTAGGGTTTTCTTGGCAAAGATGCTGGAATGGCTTGCCATTTCTTTCTCTGACTCATTTTACAGATAAAGAAACTGAGGCAAACAAGGCTAAATGATTTGCTAGGAAGTGTCAGGCCGGATTTGAACTCAGGGAAGATCAGTCTTCCTGATTCCAAGTCCAGGACTCAATCCACTGTGCCACCTTGCTGCCCTTAGTTATAGTAATTAGTTAATAATGCTAGTTCCCTTCTCCCTTGTGGTGAGACAGAAGAATATAAGCTTCTTGGAAGGAGGGACAGTTTTGTTTTTTGTCTTTTTATCCCTAGTACCTGATACAGAGTAGGTGTTTAATAAATGCTTTTTCAATTGAATTGAGGCTCAAATGAGATGATGTTTTTAAAACCCTTTGCATACCTAAAAGCACTATAAAATAACAATCATTTTGTTGATTTTAGTCTATTGAAAATTCTAAGTCCTGTTTTATTTTTTCTTTATTTCTTTAACATTTTTCTATTTGAATATCTGTTCACTTGCACATAACCACTCTTGCCATATGCCACATTCACTTGTAGTTTGTATATTTTATCATGGTTTCTTTTTTTTTGAGGTGTTTCCAAGATATTAATTGATATTATTAGAGGAGAATCATTGATCAACTGTGGTATCAGTATTATAATTTTTGGGACTGTTAGAAATTTTGGAAAATGGACTTCAGTGTTCAAAGGTAGGAACTTTTGCTTTTGATCATGTTCACATGTTCTAGAACTAAATGCAATTCAAGGTGTCTTGATTTCACTGATTTTCTCATGTTTTATTTTTGGCAAATTAAAAATGACATCCTAAGTTAAATCATAGATTTAGCACTGGAAGGCACTGTGGAGGCCAGCTAGTCCAAACCCCTTCATTTTACAGATGAGGAAACTGAGGCGGAGAATGGATAATTGTCTTGCTCAGGTTCACACAACTAATGAGGGTCTGAAGCAGTATTTTAATTCAGTTTTTCCTAATTGCACATCTAGCATTCTATACACTGTAGCACCTTCACATCCAAAAGATTAGGTTTGTGTTTTTCTGGGCACAGAGAGGGTAGGTGCCTCCCTCTGTACCTCCCACATTCATTGCAGGACCTTAGCTGCTGACTCTATATTATTTTCCTCCCAACTCAGCTTGGGCAGCATTCCCTTTTCCACATGAATGCTGAAGTAAAGAAGGTTAAAGTTAATAAAAGGGGAGGTCAGGAATGATCATCCAGGAGTCATTCATTGATGGAATTAGACGCTGGACCAGGCCATGGTACATGCATAGGGCACAGGGGAAAGACCCTAGATAATATGGAAATACTCCTTTGAATCTAAGCTGTCATTGATTAACGGGTATGGCTTAAAAGTTGAAGTTAGAGTGATTGATTCTTGAGGTGAAGGCAAATCAAGGGGTCTGATCAGGACCTGAAAGGTGCCAGTTGGAACCTAAGAAGTGGGACCTGCCAAATTCTTGGAACTATTGCTCAAGGGATCCTGGAGGTAAGTTTACATTAGTCTCTAGGCATGTTAGAGATGAGATAAGAAAAGTTAGGGGAAAGATAGATACAAATCACTTTTGTCAACCTTACTCTGGAGTTCCCAGGTTTACTGGGCAGTTTATTAAGTTTTGTATCTAGGAGAGACAGGGATAGAAATTTGCTTTATGTTCATATTCCCCTTATCAGCTCCAAGATCTTTTCTACCCTGAAACTAGGTCGTGTTTTTAAGAGATGATTGTGTGAGCCAGTATAATAGAAGTGACTATTCTACTTTAATTTACTTATCAAGTGCAATACCAATGAAACTACTAAGTAATTATTTTATAAAACTATAAAAAATGTAAGAAAATTCATCTAGAATGACAAAAGGCCAAGAATATCAAGAGAATCAATGAAAAAATGTCAAAGAAGGCAGCCTAGGAGTACCAAGTTTCAAACTATATTACAAAGCCATCATCATGAAAACAATTTGGTATTGATCAAGAATTAGAGTAGTGGATCAGTGGAATAGATTAGGTACACAATACACAGTAATAAATGACCATAGCAATCAAATGTTTGATAAACCCAAAGATCCAAGCTTTTGGGGCAAGAGCTCACCATTTGACAAAATTGCTGGGAAAACTGGAAAGCAGTTTGACAGAAAATAAGCATAGATCAACATCTCACACCATATATCACAATAAGGTCAAAATGGATAAATGATCTAGATATAAAAGGTGAGACTATCATATATAAATTAGAGGAGCACAGAAAAATTTATCTGTCATACCTGAGAAAATCAAATTGATAGTTTCCATTTTTGTAATTGATTCTATTCTTTATGCTGCCCATGCTTTGTCTCTGAGTTAAATTAAAAAATTCACTTTCCTTTCTGAGTTAAGTTTAGAAATTCAGCCTTCCTGATAATCACTGTAATGTTTTTGCATCAAAGAAATCTGTTGTCCTTGAAGAGTGCAGGTGGATGCCAGGGAGTCTGGTCTGTTATCATTGCAACACTGACTGTCTTTCAGGAAAGCCTGATCTGTTATGGCTGTGACACTAACTAGCCATGCAGGTAGACACCATGAAATGAGTTTTCTATAGCAACAAAATGAAGGAGGGGTTATTATTAGCCTTTCATTCCTAATTTCCAACTAATCACATTTTTCCTCATGCCTGTGATGCTTCAGACTATGTAACCAATCATATTGCTTTCCCCATCTGCGATGCTGCCTTTTAACTTTAGAATGCTCCTCCTTTTGTCTGTAAAAATGATCTATCTGTCCTTATTTGGGGTTTTTTTGCTTCCCGAGGAGCTGAAGACCCCTTTTATTGGTAATTGCTGGCCTTATCAATAAACTGAACATCCTCTTTGTGCCTCAGTTTACCTTTATTTCAATCATAACATATTCATGGGTAGGGGAAGAATTTATGAGTAAACACGAGATGGATTCATGGGAAGTAAAATGGATAATTTTGATTACACGAAATTAAAAAGGTTTTGCACAACAAAATTAATATGGTCAAAATTAGAAGTAAAGTGGAAAAAATTTATAGCAAGTTTCTCTGATAAAGGCCTCATTTCTCAAATATATAGGGAACTGAGCCAGATTTATAAAAATAAAAGCCATTTCCCTCTTGATAAGTGGTCAAAGGATATGAACATGCAATTTTCATAAGAAAAAAATCAAAGCTATCAATAGTCAGATAAAAAATGCTGTAAATCATTATTAATTAGAGAAATGCAAATTAAAACAACTCTGAGGTACTACCTCACAATACCAGACTGTCTAACATAACAGAAAAACATGATAAAAGCTGGAGGAGATGTGGAAACATTGGGGCATTAATACACTGTTGGTGGAATTGTGAACTAGTCCAACCATTCTGGAAAACAATTTGGAACTATGCCTAAAGGGCTGTAAAACTGTGCATACCCTTTGACTGTGTACCCTTTGACCCAGCAATACCATTACCAGGCCTATATCCCAAAGAAATAAAAGAAAAGGGAAAGGACTTATGCGTGCAAAAATATTCATAGCAGCTTCTTGTGATAGCAATGAATTGGAAATTGAGGGGATGCCTATCAATTGGGGAATGGCTGAACAAGTTGTTGTAAGTGACTGTGATGGAATACTATTGTGCTATAAGAAATGATGAGCAGGATGGTTTCAGAAAGACCTGAGAAGACTGATATGAACTGATACAAGGTGAACTGATGCATGAGCAGAACCAGAACACTATACACAATAACAGCAATATTGTAAGGATGATCAACTGTGAAAGACTTAGCTACTCTGGTGGATGCAATGATCCAAGGCAATTCCAAAGGACTTACGATGGTAAATGGTAACTACCTCTAGAAAGAGAACTGATGAACTCAGTGCATATTGAAGCATACTTTTTTCACTTTCTTTATGTTTCTTGCTTTTTATTTATTTATTTTTGCAACATGGCTAATATGAAAATATATTTAGCATTTAGGAAAAAAGAGTTGACTGTGAAAGTTGTCAGTGATTGATTGAGAGAGATGGGAAGAGAAGAATATCAGATTAGCCACACACCCAGAAATATTTGAATTAAACAATGAGGACTCAACAGACGTTTAATCAAACAGTTGCTTTCTCCATGTCCTTTCTCTATGATTTTGGTGGTGGGGAATGACACTTCTAACTAAATGTCTGTCTTGACCTCTCTGTTCTGACTGCTGAAAAGGAGCATTTCTGTGGGGAAATGGAAATTTACAGATTTTTAGTATTTCAGATACACCTGGAAGGGAACAATGGGTGTCATCTAGTCATGAATCATTTATTTTAGATTGGAAGGCACCTTAGAAGACATTAAGCCCAACTCCCTAATTTTACCAGTGGGGAAACTGATCCTCAAAGAGGTTAAGTGACTCGTCCAGGGTCACACAGCTAGTAAGTATCTGAGTCAGTATTTGAACCCAGATCTTCCTAACTCCTAAGTCCAGTGTGCTATTCTCTAAGGTTGCCTCTCCTAGATTTTATAGTTAAGAAAACTGGGACCCCAAAAGGTTAGGTCTCTTACAGTTAGTTAATGACTGAGCCAGGACTAGATCCCAAGTCCCCTGACTCAATCAGTCCTCTTTCAAATATGGTCAAACAATAGTGTACAAATAGCTAAGTATGGAGATATCATAGACGCTTCTTATGAAATATGCAAGAATTACAATTTAGTCATTCTTTTCTTTTCTTTTTTTAAACAGAGTTATACACAATAGGAGGTATGATTATAGAGATTATTGGAAGTCTCATAGTGGGATCGTGGAGTGCAAAAATCATCCAATACATGCTGGCAGACATATTTGGTGATACAGTGAATAATGTCATTCTTTGCTTCTCAACAGTATACTTGACTTTCTATATTGGTAAGAAAAGGGAAAAAATATATGTGCAATATGTAGCAGTGAATTACTTATTCTTTTTCTCCGCTATCATTTTCTGGTTCTGTTATTTTTTTTTCTTTACCCTTTTTTCTTATGACACTTCTGCCATTATATCTTTTGTTTAACCCCTCATATCATCCTTTTGCTACCCCAGTTACTTCCCAGATTTCCCTTTTATTCCCTTGTCTTTGACTTTTCCTATCACTTCCTCTCTGATCACCCACTCCCAATAGCTATTATAGAATCCCAGAGTTGGAAGTAATCACAGAGGTCATCTAGTCCAAACCCTCATCTAAAGAATAAATGTCTACTGTCTCCCACTAAGCCTTAGCTTCAGAATTCCTTCCCACCTCCATAACCTCAAAGATCAATTAAATAAGGTAAATAAATTAAATAAGGTAAGAACAGTGTCTCATTTAAATCTGTTGAGATTAAAATTCCAAGAGACAAAATTGCAAGCACAATTTAATAAATTTCTTAGGCTAGCAATAACCAAGAAATTGAGGTCATTAATCTCTCAGTTACCAAAGACCCCATCTGAGGGTCACAGGGCTCTTAAATCTAGGTGTGTCTTCCTTCTGATGGACCTGACAGTGCTTCCTTGGGACCTCCCCTGGCAAAGGTAAGGCAACTCTGATTGGTAGATGAGTTGGCCTTCAGGTGTTACACCCATCTCTGACCCTCAAGGAATGCTAATTGCTCCTTGAGAGACAACTGCCTCCAACAATCTTGGCTCAACCAGGTTTTCATTGCCTTGGTCTCCCCTATAGATTTCCCCAAATTTTGGTAAAGGAAAAGCAAGAACACAAGAGTCATCCCCTGGGGAAGGCCTAAGGATGGATCACATAGAAACATTGATTATTAAATAAGACAATCCAATATTAATTTTCCTCAATCTTTTTCCTTGTCATCAGAGAGGTAGGATTCTGGGGTAGTGAAGGACAGGTGCAAAGCCCAAGCCTGGAAGTGGCTGGGCAGAGTTATGAGGATCCAAGATTCCTTGTGGGTACTAGCTGTCTTGGCACTAAGAGTGTACAGGAATTCAATACCAGAGTGAGAAAGAATCCTCAGGAAAAGGAGAGCATCCAAGGGTGGGAAAGATGGCAGACAGGTTGGTTACTCTGTTAATACCTATATTGGACAGTAGGAAGTAAATCTCATTGTTTCTTCCTTCCCAACATGTCTCTATATACATCCCCTTCTCTCTACTCAGCAGCCACCACTTTTGTACAGGTTCTCTTCACCTCTCACCTGGACAGTTGCATTAGTCTTCTGGTTGCTCTCCCTGCCTCAAGTCTCTGTCCACTCCAGTCTATCCTCCACTCACTTGCCAAAGTATTTTTGCCTAAAGCTCAGGTCTGACTGTGTCCCTTCCCCATCCCACCCCTTTTCTGCAAAGCTTACCTGTTACCTTCAGGATCAAATAGAAAACCCTCTGTTTGGTATTTAAAGCCCTTCACCATCTGACTCCTTCCTTGTATTCCAATCTTTTTACACTTCTCTCCCCAAACTCTACTAGCCTACTCATACCTCATGCACAACACTCCATTCCTGACTTTGTTTTTGTATTTCCAGCATTTAGCACAGTGCCTGGCACATAGTAGACACTTAATAAATTCTTATTGACCAGTTGACTGACTGAATCTCTATGCCTGTAATGTTCTCCCTCTTCACCTCCACCTCCTGGCTTCCTTCCAGACTCAGTTTAAATCCCACTTTCTACAAGAGGCCTTTCCTAATCATTCCCACTTCTCTGATCCTAACTCCTCCTTTCACCCCCCCTTTCTGCCACTGCTAGTGCCTTCTCTCAGAAATTACCTTCCACATACACTTTGTATATCTTGTATGCACATAGTTATTTGCCTGTTTTCTCTCCTGAGTACCTTGAAGGCTGGGACCATGCTTTTCCCTTTCTTTGAATGTCAAGGACTTAGCACTATGCCTGGAACATAGGGAACACTTAATTACTTTTTGACTGTATCGCTAACCCGACTAAAATTCAGAAGCAGTGTTTGGAAAAACTTCCTCTTTCTTATCTCCCATGTACACTTTTAAATTTAATTTCCAAGGTATAAAATGTTTATGCTAAAAATTTAACAATTAGCTCTGGAGCAGGTTCAAGCTAGTGTCAGCACACCCTTAATATAGGTAGTGATACTTCTGAGAATTTTGCCTTAAGAGAATATGAGAGTGTTGCATAATGTCATTGGAATTAGGAGACCTGGGAAAGAAGGTCTTATGTGACTTCATACAGAGTTTATCCCCTATGTCGGAATCTAATTTGAGGCAGTATAACCAATTTATCAAGCTGTCTGTAGTGGACATAGATGTGTGGTTTATGCACTTGATATCATTGGATTCTTACTATACCTCTAGGAGGCAGGTAAAGTAAATACTATTAAACAGAAGAAGCAACTGAGGCTCAGAGGGATTAAGTGACTTGACCAGAGACATACAGTGAATAAATGAAAGAGCTACAATTTGAACCCGGGTCCTGAGAAACCATTTTTGAATGAATGTTTAATAACAAACATAAAGTGCATGGATTTTCACACATTTAATTTCATTCATTTCTCTTTCTCCCTAGCTGAATTTCTGGGACTTTCAGGCGTTGTTGCTCTAATTGCTCTTGGGCTCCTTTTAGATTCCTTAAGCTTTAGGCCAGGGATTGATATCACAATTTCTAAGTAAGATTATTACTATTTTATGTTTTTTTGCTGTATTTTATTATATTTTGTTATGTTTTATACTTTTTGGTAACTTGAATTTTATCTATAGTCATTTAAACTTAAAAAAACTCGCTTAAGGAACTGGATCCAGATCAGCTGATGCTGTGTCTGCTGCAGGCTTGATTGCAGCTGGAGGGCCACTTGTCCTCCTTCAGTCAAGCGCAGAGAACTGGGACCTCTGTTTTTTTATGTTTTGATGACTTCTTGTTATCACTTGGGGTGGGGAGTGGGGGGAGAAGGTTTTTGGTATTGGGGTGATGAGAGTTAGGAGGATCATGGGACTGGACTCTGAGTTGCAATCCAATTTTGTTGTTGTTCTTTCAAACAATTCTTGATACAACAACTTTTGCTTGTAGTGGACTGAGAAAGCCAGATTCCTGAGCCCATGAGAAAAGTGAAATGAATAGTTAAAATTAATACATTAAAATATGGCTTCCTTCCAACATAGGTTCTTATTCATGCTGTCATTTTCATGCCAATCTTTCATATTCACTTTCATTGGCATTGTGATTGGGTGTGAAGATGTTAGGCACTTGGAATTTCACAACGTAACTTTCATCATAATATTATTTGTAACAGTGAATGTTACAAGGTAAGAATTAATTCTATTGAAACTTGTTAAAATTAGGCTCTCCAGGTTGTATGTTTCTTTTAAAATCACTTTATTTTAAATTTATTTTATTTTAAATTTATGTAATAAAACAAACATTTCCATAACATAGTATAATAAAAAAAAGATAATTGCACAAGAAACTGCAAATCTATTATGTGCAACTTGCTATTCCTTTTAAATATATAATAAAATAATTGTTAGAAATAGAGCTCCTTGGACTCCCTCAGCAGGGTTGGGAAGTTAGCCCAGGGGAGCTGCCACAACCCATTGCTTTCCAAGTTGCAATGCTGAGTGGAGTCTCACTCTTAGTAATGAAACTTAGTCTGGAGTGAAAGAAGAATTGTTTATTATGGTTCTTGCAAGAATCGGGTGTGCCCCTTGGTGGGAGAGGCACACCATATAGAAGCAAGAGCTAGCTTTTATACTGTTAGTATGATCCTGCTCCTCCCATCAGAGCAAGGATTGGTCCAGCTCATCTGAGTTACACTCTTTCTGAACCGCCTATCCCATGTTCCTCCTTTCCATGTTAATACCTCCCAATTCATGTGTCCCATCTTAAAAAATGGCAGCTATCTCCACCCTTGGTGTCAGTTAATATCCAATAAGCTTATTAAGCAAGCTCCGTGGAGAAAAGCCTTTGTCCTGTCCTTGACCCCAATGGGTTTAGCCTCCAGGGCTCTTTCTTAAGGAATTAGTTGTTTTGCAGAATGTTTGGGGCACTTTCTGATTGGTTGAGGGACTATCCATAAGATCTTGGAAGTCCTTCTCAGAATTCCCTTGTTCTGTTGTAGAAGCCTAACTTCTAATGCTTTCCCACATCATGTAAATTTCTTTTTTTTTCTTTTTCCTTTTTTTCTTCCCTCTCTCCCCATCCCTACCCTAGAGATAGCTACCATTAGACACAAATAGGTATATATGTATATATCTATATTGTGTGTATACATATATATATATAATTATTGTATACATACTTCTATCAATTCATTCTTTGGATGCAGATAGCACCTTTCTTCATATGTCCTTTATTTTTAATTTGTGTATTTTTAATAGTCAAAATTACTTAGCTGCTCAAAGTCATTCTTAAAACAATATTGCTATTACTGTATACAGTGTTCTCTTGGTTCTGCTCACTTTGCTCTTTATCATTTCATCCAAGTCTTTCCATGCTTTTCTAAGATCATTGAGCTCATCATTTCTTATGGCACAGTGATATTCCATCACAACCATACACCACAACTTGTACAGCCATTCCCCAATTGATGGGGATCCCTGCAATTTCCAGTTCTTTGCCAACACAAAGAGAGCTGCTGGAAACATCCCATTCACATTCAAAGTTATAATTACTATTTGTGAATTTATCTCCACCTTTACTCACTATTTTCTTTCTCAGTCTCTCTTTGTATCATATACACAAACATATACAGATATATACTCATATGTACATACATACACGCAATAGATGAGTCTAAGGGATAGCAAAAATATGAAGGAAGGTGGCCTAGATGTACCAGATCTTAAATTGTATTATAAAGAAGTAATTATCAAAACAATCTGGCTAAGAAACAGAGTGCTGGATCAGTGGAATAGATTAGGTACATAATACATTGTAGTAAACGCCCATAGTAATTTAGTGTTTGATAAATTCAAAGATCCAAGCTTTTGGGACAAAAATTTATTATTCAACAAAAACTGTTAGGAAAATTGGAAAGCTGTATGGCACAAACTAGGTATAGACCAATGTCTCACACTATATACCAAGACAAGGTCAAAATGGGTACATGATTTAGACATAAGGGGTGATATCATAAACAAATTATGAGAGTATGGAATAGTTTATCTATTAGATCTATGGATAAGGGAAGAATTTAGGACCAAACAAGATATAGAGAATATTAAGAAATATAAAAAATAGATCATTTTGATTATATAAAATTAAAGCATTTTTGTACAAACAAAAGCAATGCCACCAAAATTAGAAGGAAAGCAGAAAACTGGGAGAAATTTTTTATAGCAAGTATCTCCGGTAAAGCCCTAATTTCTCAAATATATAGAAAACTGAATCAAATTTATAAGAATACAAGTCATTCGCCAATTAGTAAATGGTTAAAGAATATGAACAGATGATTTTCAGATGAAGAAATCAAAGCTATCCATAGTCACGTGAAAAAATGCTTTAAATCACTATTGATTAGAGAAATGCAAATTAAAACAAATCTGAGCTACCACTTCATACCATAGCCATCAGATTGGCCTAATATGACAAAAAAGGAAAATAATAAATGTTGGAGGGTATGTGGGAAAACTGGGACACTAATGCATTATTGGTGGAGTTGTAAATTGATCCAGTCATTCTGGAGAGTAATTTGGAATTATCAAACTGTGCATACACTTTGATCAACTACTAGGTCTGTATCCAAAAGATATTAAAAAACAAAAGGGAAAGGAACCTATTTATACAAAAAAAATTTATAGCAGCTCTTTTTGTGATGGCTAAGAATTGGAAACTGAGGGAATAGCCATCAATTGGGGAATGGCTGAACAAGTTGTGGGATATGATTGTAATAGAATATTATTGTGCTATAAGAAATGACAAACAGGATGATTTTAGAAAAAAACTGGACTCAAACGAACTGATACAAAATGAAGTGAGCAGACTCAGGAGAACATTATACACAGTAACAGCAATATTGTTCGATGAAGAACTGTGATCCAAGACACTCCCAAAGGACTCATGATGATAAATGCTATCTGCCTCCAGAGAATGAACAGATGTTGTCTAAATACTCCCTCCCTCTCTCCCTACCTCCCTCTTTCCCTTCCTTCCTCCCTCCCTTCCTTCCTCCCTTTCTTCCTTCCTCCTTTCCTTCCTTCTTCCTCCTTCCCTTCCTTTCTCCCTCCCTTCCTTCCTCCCTTCCTTCCTTCCTTCCTTCCTTCCTTCCTTCCTTCCTTCCTTCCTTCCTTCCTTTCTTTCTTTCACAAAATGACTAATATGGATATGTTTTACATGATTGCACATGTATAATCTTTATCAGATTACTTACTCTCTCGGGGAGGAGGAAGGGGTAGAATTTGGAACTCAAAAGTGAAAAAAAATGTTAAAATTAGTTTTTACATGTAATTGGGGAAAAATAAAATATTACTTAAAATTTAAAAAAAAAGGAGGGGTAGCACTTGAATTTACAGCCAGAATACATGATGGCCTCTTATTAGGGGATTTCTGAGGTTGAAATTTAGGAGGTTGGAATAGGGTATCTAACTATTAGGCCCCTTCCAATCCTAAGATTCTCTGATCTAAACCTTGATCTTTTGTTGCTAATGTTTTTCTTTGCACAGGATGATAACTATTCTGCTAGTAAGCCCTATATTTCTACATTCTTATTGTGAATTCAATTGGAGGTGGGGAATTATTATCATCTGGTCTGGCATTAAGGGATCTTTCAGCTTAATCCTGGCTCCTGATATCCATAACTTGAATGAAGAAAAAGTAGAATTACCACAAATGGTAATTAGTCAAAAGCTTTACTTTTCTATTCCTCCCCCACCCCAAATTACTTTTGCAGCAGCTATGTAGTATACTATTCAGTACACTTAATTGTTTTCTTCTGAATTGAGGCAGGTAGGTGGTTCAGTGGATACTTGTCTCTGGGCCTGGAGTCAGGAAAATTTGAGTTAAAATATCACCTCAGACACTAGCTAGGTGACCCTGAGCAAGTCTTTTGACCTCTGGTTCAGTTTCATCATCTATACAATGGGGATAATAATAGCACCTACCTCCCAGGATTGTTGTGAAGTTAAAATGGGATAACATTTGTAAAGTGTTTTGCAAATAATTTTGACTAATGAGATTAGTCAGAACTCTTAATTTTCCTCCATTAAGAAGAAAGAAACTCAAAAGGAACTTGAAAATGTTGATAATATGAAAGGGCCTGTCTCTTAGTTTTTGTATTCACATTGACTTTGCATAAGAAATAACACCATTGATTATATAATTTTGGAGGTTGTGAAAAAATCAGATGTGAATATATTATGGCAAAAAGACAAATGTGAGCTAAGGGACACAGCAATGAGGAATTGTAGGGGGGAATATATTTTATTGATCTCTTTCATTTTTACATTATCATTATTTCTAGTTATATTCTTCTCTCCTCTCTCCTTCTCCCCAAATAGCTAACCCTTATACCAAAGAACAAAAAAGAAGAGGAAAACAAAAGAGGTCAACAAAACCAGCTCATTAATTATCCAAATTTGACAACACATGCCTTGATTAGAGGTGTTGGTCCATGAAATTGTTGATTGACCACCTCATTTGCTGATACTAGGCTTAGGAAACGCTTATCATCTGCAATAGTTAAAAAGGATTTATTCAGCATCTACAATTTGCTAAATCACCCTCAATTCCAAGAATGTTCTTTCTGTTCCTTTGCACAACCTCAGTTTGGTAGAGGTATATACAAGGATGGTAATTCTATGCTGACACTTGAACTCTTTTGGAGGTTCCCACAGGAGCCCAGATGTACCTAGTGCTGGAATAAGAAGTAGGCTCAGCCTTATTTGGTGCAACATAATGCCACAGTGATTTCTGGAGCCTTCTCTATGTCTGGGAATCACCACAACTTGCTTCTAGAACCTGTATGACCAGAGCAGCAGCTGCTATTGGCCAGGAACCACCTTCCTCATTCTCTCTGTGGTTTGTACTGCTGGCCGCTGCTTGGGGCCCTTGCGATGCAAGCTGAGGACTTGCCTCCCCTTGATGGTTTGGCTGTCCATAGACTACACTGTTCTGTGTGGATCTTCGTAGGCAAGAGTAACTAGGGAGTTTCATCATCGTCACCTTGACAGAGAAAATATATCTTTGAGGTAGTAAATAGCTTCTGTACCTCAGCTATTATATTCAAAGAGGGAAGGGATAGGAACCAAACCTGGAATTTCATTGGTATAGTGGAACTTCCAAGTGAAGCATCTCTCTCTCTTGGCATAGGTTAGTATTCTGTAATTTATGGTCTTAGAGGGTTTTATAAAGCACTGAGATGATGAATGACTTGAACTAATCAATAAATCTATTAACAAGTATTTATTAAGCACCTACTGAATGCCAGGCTCTATACTAGCTAGGTTGTTGGGAATACAAGCACAGGGAATGAAATGATCCCTACTTATAATGAGCTTATGTGCCAATAAGGGAGACAAGTACATATAAAATATAGGTAGAGAATAAATATAAAGTTAACATACACATATATTTAAAAGTGGTTAAATACAAGGTGCTGTGAGATGGAGGGAGCTAGCATTTGGAGTCTCAACTGCATTCTAAAGAATATGACTTGTGCAGAGTCATACAGATAATAGTTATCAGAGATAGGACTTGAACCCAGATCTTCATGACCAGTTCTTTATCTATTCTGTCACAATGCCTCTATTCAGAGGGAAAAAATCCTTTTGTGTCATACTATTGACTGGAAGGGAATTTTTTTTCTTTTTCTTTTTCTTTCTTTTCTTTTCTTTTCTTTTTTTTTTTTTTTTGAGGCAATGGGGTGAAGTGACTTGCCCAGGGTCACACAGCTAGTGAGTGTTATGTGTCTGAGGCCAGATTTGAACTCAAGTCTTCCTGAATCCAAGGGTGGTGCTCTACCCACTGTGCCATCTAGCTGTCCCTGGAAGAGAATTTTTTAAAAATTTAAAAATCTAAATAAGATCAAAGTTTAGATTTCTCTATGACTGAATAATGATTAACCTTGGAAAAATTTTAATGACTTTTTCTTATTTGTTAATTTTTTAGTTTCTAATCTATGTACTGGCCATATCTGTATTGAGTATGCTGATAAATTCAACCATGGTGACTCACTCAGCGATGACATTAGGTAAAGTATAGCAAATTTACAACAATTATCTTGGAAAAATAAGGCCAATAATGAGTCATTTTAGTAGAACACATACTTGTTTAGTTATCGTTATTCAAATAATATTATTGTGTCATATAGTGTGATTGTTGGAATAACTCATAAGTTAATCCTATGCTAGACTAAAGGAGCAGTCCATGAAGTCTAATTGCCTGGTGATACTGCGAGGCTGCTGCTCTGGGATGTGTAAGGGACTAGGATGGCCCCAGGAAAACCTGAGAGTAAGGGGATAACAATGGAGGGCAAGAGATCTATCAACTTAGCAGTTAGTGGAAGTAATCTTCCTAGAATATCTCTGTTAGTTTCTGTTTAAATTTGTAAACTCATGCTTATGGGGAAACCCATGGTCTAAGGACAAAATACCCCATTAATTTTATCTGGCTGACTACAAGTATTTGCAAAAATGCAGACCTTTGACAGCAACAATTTTTGTATTAAAAACATTTTTCATGTATACAGTCTATAATCATAATTACTTATGACAAAAACATTATTGACAAGGTTACTTTTGCACCCTAAGATTCACAAAGGGTAGGAAAGGAGATGGAGAAGACAAATGCTACCAATTTCCCAATGTTTATAAATGATAATAATCAGTCATTCAACAAGCATTCATCAAATACCTACTATGCCAAGCACAGGTAGGTACTGTGCTAAGCTCTGCAATATACAGACAAAAGTGAAATAATTCCTATTCTTAAGGAGCTTGTGTTATAATTGGGGGAGTGTTGGGTGGCAGACCATCCAGAGGGACAGTCCACCTCTGAGAGGATACTGAGATACTGAAGAAAAAGGGGCAATACATACCAGCATGATAGTAAATAGGTTTTATTGGGGGAACTTACTTATAAGGCTAGTCCTGTGCAGGGCAGGACAGTGGTAGATTTCCACTCCAAGCCTAGGCCAGGCCAGATATTATACAGAAACAGATCAAAGAAGGCATAGTGCTAAAAGATGGCCCAGGATCACATGCAAGTTTTCCTACAGAAAGGAGCTATTTTGCTTTTTACAATAACCATGGTACCCAAAGTCACATTCCTAGGCTCTTGCTCCCACCATGTATACTCCACCCCTTGGGACCTGCTCATAAATTCTTTCTGATAGTATCTTCCCCAAGGATCCATGAGTGGTACACGAGTGGTTCCATTATCATGGTGGAAGCAGAGGAGTTCATCAATGAGCTACACTAGAGACACAATCCACAGCATCAAAATAAGCACAATCAGGAAAACAACAAAACCAACAGGAAAATAACCTGTTGAAATTTTCTTCCACCCTACCCCAAGAGAGGTGAAGAAAGAGTCTGTGGCATCTGGCGATTGTTGGAAGAACTAGATTTCCAAACTTAACTTATTACAGCCCAGCTGAATTTCTGAACTAAATTCAGAGACAAGGAAACATGGCTTCAGTGATTTTACAACATATTGGAGATGATGCAGAATAGAATCAATCACAAAATGGAATCAGAGTAATTTGATTTTCTCAATTTCCCCTTATTGTCAATGGGAAACCTGTCACAATTTCCCTTGACTTATTAATGTAAGAACAAGAATATTGGTTAATCATAGTATAAGCCATAGTAAGAATATCTAAAACCATGGACAATTTTTAGAGATTTATGTGTCACCAAGGTAACTAAGAAAAATCAGCTAATGTAGATATTGTGAAACAAAAGCCAAAGTAATACAATAAAGTTCATCAATACGGACTAACATCATCTCCTTGTATTTTAGTAACCCACTCCCAATGTCCACTTAATCAACACAGTTCCTCTTGGATTCCTGATGTTCCCATGTAGTCACCAGGTCTCTAAAAGCATCTCCTAGACATTCTGGAATGGGCCCTGTTCTTGGGCAGCTCTGAAGTGGTCTCTTTTTTCATTAGATTTGCTTCTATGGTTCCACATTACTTGTGGATTTTTAGATGTTCCTGCTAAAATCCTTTACAAAATAGATCTCAGTACAATTTAGTACACCCTTCTAAATTTTGCTTTTCCAATAATTAGTTCACATGATGAAAACCAGCTCAAACCTATGGTCTTGGTCTTGTTAACAATAGAGCTATAGGAAGAAAATCAAATTAGAAACCTATGGTTCACTTGAAACCTCAGAGAATTTAAATTTTTACATATCCCCTTAGAATCATAATACATTTGACTTATATAATAGTCTGATCTTGTTGCTTTCTCAAACTTTTCCACTCCATTTCCAATTTTCCTCCTTTAAGAGGACTAGATACTGATAAGAATCTAATCCTATACGTGAAAACATAGATAACAACACTCGTTGTTAAGTAGATGCTTTCTACTCCTAAGTTCCATGGCTACACAAATGAAACTGAGAATAGGTTTGTATCAAATGAGTTGTCTATAGCAAAACAAATTTAGTTGTTGACCATATTCAAATGGAATAGATATTACACATACATTGACTGCTGCTCTTAGAAGTCCTTTAAGCAATGGAGACAGCTTTAAAGTAACTCCTGAGCAATTTGCATGTCTATTAGGACATGTTCTATATATAGATGTTAATTTCTGATTAAATAACAAACCTAAGTAAAATTATATTTCCCATTGTGGTAATACAAGATGGTTCATAAGCTACTCTCCACTAAGATGATGGATTGCAATGAAATTCTATTCCTTAAAACAGAAGAATTTTCTGATGTTAACCTCACAAATTAATAGATTCATATCTTTGTTTCACAAGCTTCTTTATTTGTCCAATTATTCCCATATTATTTTGAAATATTTTAAGAACCTTATCTTCTACATGAATTTATAACTTTTAACAGGCAGATGACAAGCTCAAGAACCAATTTACATAGTTGCTTAGGGTATGGAATGACTGCCAATTCAGATTGAGGAACAGTAAGATATTTTATACTTACATCTTCTTACAGTATCATGATGATACTGTTTGCCTGCCCTGATAATAGAAGTTTGCTATAAGAGGAAAAAGCAGGGACATGACTATACCAGCATCAAAACTAGTCCTCCCAGTTTAAGCCTGAGAGCGCAGAATGATTCAACACATGTACACCAGAATAAAGTAAACTTGTAAGAGTCACAATTAGTAGCCAATCATACGGAAAATTTTCACCTCATTTACAGGGTATTATAGTCAGAGTTAGGATTAATCAGGTGGGAAATATTTCTGTTCAAAAGGAAGTAACACAATGGGAAAACTGAGTCAAGAAGTTTCTACTTTAGGCTATGCCAAGGTATCCCTTTGACTTTTCTCAGACACAGACATTCACAAGCAACAATTTAGGATCACACTCCCTCTGAGCAGTTTATCTCTTGAATGGTGGATTCCTGACTTAATGATCAATCAGACAATCATACCTGAATACAAAACTCAATACAAAACAATATCAATTACAGTCCCAAGAGATTTTATCTTAAAAAGCAAGTTTTGCTAATCACAGTTTAGGGCTGGATACAGTTATCATTACTCTCATGTTTTTGCAATTGGAAATAAAGGTTTACTAGGCCTCACACACATATGAAATGGTTTTACTTAGCATCCTTCACTTGTTCTTTTTCTTCTTTTCCACAAGTTTAAACTCATTCTGGTGTAAAATTCAACAATTACATTCTGAAACTCCACTTAGTGACTATATGAACCACAAATCATCACATAAATCACTTGTATATTATAAACAAACTTGTAAATTCTCCACTCCTTTTCAAGGAGTGAATGAAGAGGTCCCATCTTTCCAGTAAGTCAATTCATTGTTCAGGAATTTCACAGCCCTAGCAGTCTCTTTCCCTGGGCTTATAATAATCTATGACCTTGTCCAAGTGGGTCCTTATAAGTTCACAAACAAGGAGATTCTATAAGGTCTATTCTTGTACCTTTTCCCACACAGTGATTAGCAAATTTTTCTTCTCTCCTCCCCCCTCCCCCCCAATAATTTTCTCGGTTCCTGCTGAGCTTCATCACTCAATTGTGGCCCTACCTGGAAAGATTTTTCCCAGGCTATTACTGCTTATCTATGGGGAATCAGACTCCCTCCTGCTCCCTTTTGAATGCTGGTATTCCCATGTAAATGTATTCAAGGCTATTTACTGTTAGTGCTTCTTTCATTTAAGCCTACTGGCAAAGATTCAAAGTGACAGTTTTGCATTTTCACACCTCTGTCTTTTAGGACACATGAAACTTCCCTTTTAGAATTAGATTAAAGCCCTTCAAATCTGTACCTGTCTTGTTTCTTTCATATTCTGATCTGACACTTCCATTACCTTCCCTTATTCTTGGTTGTAATCTAGCTCCTTTGCCCTTGAGAATGTAAAAGTTGCTAAATTTTGTGTTATCCTGACTGTGGTTCCTTGAGATTTAAGTTGTTTCTTTCTGGTTGCTTCCAATATTTTCTCTTTGACCTGGGGGCTCTGGAATTTGACTATCGTATCACTAGGCATTTTCATTTTGAGATCTCTTTTGGGGGTGATTGGTGGAGTCTTTCAATTTTTATTGGATCCTCTGATTTTAGGATATCAGGACAGTTTTTCTTGATAATTTCTTGAACTATGATGATTGCTATCCCTGACTTGTTTTTATTTTCACCTGAAGCATACTAGTTTTTGCTCTGACCCCTTATTTCAACTCTGTGTGAATATTTATTTTGTGTGTGTTTCTTGTAAACAACCTATTGTTATAGTCAGCTGTCACATCTATTCCGCTATCCTCTTCCCTCTTATATGTGAAATCATCCCATTCACATTTACATTTATGATTGTTAATTGTGTATTTCTTTTCATTCTGTTTTCTTCTATTTTCTATTTTCTTTTTTTCCCATCCACTCTTTAAAAAGAAGAGAGGGGCAGCTAGGCGGTGCAGTGGATAGAGCACCAGCCCTGGAGTCAGGAGGACCTGAGTTCAAATCTGGCCTCAGACACATAATACTCACTAGCTGTGTGACTCTGGGCAAGTCACTTAACCCCAAATGCCTCACAAAAAAAAAAAAAGAGGAAGAGAATTGTGAGCAGGGAAGAGTATGCTCAGCACTATGCTCCAGATTTGATGCAATCTGCTTTGGTACCTCTGCCCTGTTCTCTTTCCCTCATTCAGAGCCAATCACAGGTTCACATCCTTTCTTTCTTTCCTTTTAAATCCCTCTTAGAAATTCACTCTTTATGGCTAAAGTTTCTTTATCCTTCCCTTAATCTACAACCCTTCTTATTCTCTCATATCACCTCTCCACTTTCCTTCCTATTTCCCTGTTTCATGGTATCCAGCTGTGTGTAATCTGCCATCCTTTGACCGGTTCAGAAAGTGAATGAGGTTCAAGTGTTGTCCACTTCCTCTGCTCCTTCCTACTTGTTTGTAGTTTTCAATTTACACACTCCAATTATTTAAGATAATTTCCCCCACCTTCCCCCCTCCTTTCCTTTATTCTAAGATAAGAAAAAATAATAAAAACACTCCCAAGCTCTCTGTCTTACCAAATTACTTTTACGCCCCCAATTATAGTAGGTCTCTGAAGGAACATAAATATTACCTTCCCATGTTATGATGTGAACAATTCATCCCTGTTTAGTCTCTTTTGGCTGCTTGCTCATATTTACCTTTTTATGTTTCTTTTGACTCCTTTGTATCTGATAGTTTCTACTCAATTCCGTTCTTTTCATCAGGAATGTTTAGAAGTCCTCTATTTTACTAAAGATCCATTTCCTCCCTTCCTGGATTATACTTAATTTTTCTGGCTAAATTATTCTTTGTTTAAGCCAGTTCTTTGCCTTTTGGAATATCATATTCCAAGCTCTCCCCTCCTTTATAGCTGTGGTTTCTAAATCTTATGTGATCCTCACTATGATTCCTCAGTATTTTAGTTCTTTCTTTCTGGCTGTTTGCAATATTTTTTCTTTGACCTGGAAGCCCTGGATTTTGGCTATAATGTTCCTGAGAGTTTTCATTTTGGCATTTCTTTCAAGGGGTGACCAACGGATTCTTCTCTTTTCATTTTGCCGTCTAGTTCTAAGGGAGCTGGGATGTTTTCTGTTATGATTTCTAGGCTTTCTTTTTAGTCATGATTTTCATGTAGTCCAAGGATTCTTAAATGTTTTCCATATCAGTTATTTTTGATATGAGATACTTAGTCTGCTCTAGGTGAAGTCAGGGCACTGCCCTGGTCTGAACTCTATACATTCCTGACCTGGGTTTGGGTTTAGGTGACACAACTATGGGCTTGAATTTGGCTGGAACTTCAGCAGGCTACTGCTAGATTCAGCCACTGTTGGCCAGCTTTAAGCTATACAGGTTCAGAGTCACAGAACTGTAGGATTCCCTTTGGTCTGGGCTTCTTACCCTAGTTATTCTGCTATAGGCTTCAGACTAGGCTGGGGTCAGGATCCAAAACTCTACTATGCTTTCTCCTGGGGCTAGAAGCAACACATCTACTGCTCACTTCTGTCCTTGTTCCTTGCTCAGTACATAATCTTATTGCAAACAATCCTTGCCTTAGAATAAAACCCTTGTGCAAAGGTCACTATGAGCACTCCTTTCCCTCGTACTCCACCATTTGGCATAGATGCCCTCCTCAGTCTGTCCTGGATTTATCACCCAGCTTCGGTACTAAATTGCCAGTGAACACTTGTTCCAGCTCCTGCACAAAGTCAGGCTTCTCTGTACTGGATCTGGGACTTCTTGTCTTAGTGCACAGCTGTGAGCAGGCCTTTGTTTTGTTCGTGCACTGGAATGTATTGTGTTCATGGCTAGAACCTGTCCTCAGTGTCTGCAGACCTCTCTGTCTATCTCTTTTTTGCTGACTTGGGCTAGAAAAATGACTCATAGTGATTTTTTTCTTGAATTTCTCATCAGGCCTTAGTCTGGCACATTAAATTGTGGGAGAGAGATGGATTGTACTACTTCCTTCTCTACCACCATCTTGGCTTGTCTTCCCTCAGCGCCTTTTCCCCTATACTAAACTAGTGGCAGCTATTTATGTAGTTTAGGTTTACGAAATAATTATCTTCCAATAACTCTGTCAAGTAGTTAGTGTCAATATTATTACTCCTATTTTATAGAAGAAGAAATTGAGGTACAAAGAAGTGAGGTTATTTGCCTATAGTCATACACCTAAGTGGCAAAATCAGAACTTGCACTCACGTCTTTTGACTCTAAGGCCAGTGATCTTTCCATCACACTAAAGTTCATTCCAGTGACAATGTTATTAAAGGGAACTTTGAAAAGGAAAAAAAAGAGTATAAAAGGGCAACATGAAACCTGAATGTGATGGGTTAAAAGTAAAAGAGGATGAGTTCCATTCTCTTTGCTTAGATGATGACAATTAGAGAATGAGTTATAGATTGCTTACATACATGCATAGGAGGCTTTATGATTTTTGGTTTTGCTTTGTGTTAGCTCATGTTGGTTTAGTTAATTCATTTCCTTCTTCCCCACCAGGTACCTCTTTTACTAGCTGCCCTCTGCTACTTGTAACAGTGGCACAGGGCCTCTTCAAGTTTGGGGGTTGGGGCAAAATGCTTCAATTTCCCTTGTCCCAAAGGTAGCTCTGTATTGAAGAGATACTGTGAAGGTAGAAATAACATACTTTAGGAATTATTGGATATAAAGAGTGAAGGAGAGTAGAGAATCAAAAATGACTTTAACAATTTGGGAGCCTAGAAGGTTGGTGGGAGCATTGGAAGGAATAGTGAAGCTTGGGATGGAGGGCTGCTTTCTGTGTTGGGGAGAGGGGAAGATGATGAATTTGCTTTTAGTCATGTTGAATTTGATTTGATTGCAGGAAGTAGAAGTAGAGATTTGACACTAAAACTTTAGTAAGTTTAAGAAAAACTCTGACACATTACCTTAAGTAAGTCTCTTAACCTCCCATTACTATAAATTATAAAATGTTTGCTATAAACATTAACTATAAAATGAGAAGATTATGGAATTAGTTGGACTCTGTTGAGGTCCCTTCTAGATTCTTGATCCTATGTATTTGGAAGTCTTCCACATAAAGGAGATAATTGAAACCATAAAGACAGAAGTACTCTTCAGAGTAAAGAGAGAAGAATCTGGGATAAGAGTTGAACATTAAAGGAATATACACACATATACATGCATACATGCATGTATACATATATATACACACATGCATGCACACACACGTGTGTGTGTGATAGGTGATGCCTGGTAAATTTAGGTTGGACTTTGTTTGAACAGTATGATTTGACAATATGGAAAATAGTTCTGATACAGAGAGAAAAACCTGGGCAGGAAGTCTGGACATAGGTAGACATATTCCAGTCCTGACTGCCACTGAATTACCATGTTATTTTGAGCCAATTACTTCTCTGTAAAATTATTGGATTAGACAGACTCTGAGATCCTTTTGAGTTCTAAGATTCTGTGTATATGTATGTATGTCTTCATTTGCAACTTGAGCCCTAAGATTTTGTGTGTGTGTGTGTGTGTGTGTGTGTGAGAGATCTCCAACATTTGCCATTTAATCGTGTGACCTTTCACTTTTCCTTGACACTATGGATACTGTTTTAGAGGTATTTTTCTTCTTTTCACAGGTCTTTGTGTTATTTCCCTCCCAAGACAACTGGCAATGCAAAATGCCATTCTACACATACAAGAGGTGATAGAGAATGCAATTATATTATCTAAAACAGAAAACATTTTGACAAATATTATTTGGTCCACAGTAGAAGAAAAAACCAAGATTGATTACTCTAATATTGTGAGTCATGTCATTTTTCAGAAATAATGTTTCTTTTTTTCTTTGCTTAGTCTGACCTTCCCTGTTTACTGTGAAGTAATGAGTTGGTTCTGATTATTTGGACAAAATAGATACGGTGAAATTGGACTTTGAGGAAAGAGGCTTGCCTGACAAAGTACTAATAGGCCAAGTCTTCAATGGCAAGAGAGTGTTTTAGGGGAAAGTCTGAATTTGGTGGATAGTGATATTTAATGTCCAGAAAAAAAATTGTGTGTGTTAGCCTTGGAGTCAGGAAAATCTGTATTTAAATCTCGCCTCACATCCTTACTAGCTTCTTCATCTTTAAAATGCAGTTTCTAATAGCAACTACTTCACAGGGTTTCAAATGAGAGAATGTACATGAAAAACTTAAAACTATGTAAATGGCGGCTATGGTTATAATGTTTTGGTTGCATTGAGGTTCCAAGAGACCTCATGGTCAAGAGAAAACTATCGTTTTCTGTGGAGGGGAGAGAAAAGACAGTCAGTTTGTAGAAATGTCTATGGAAGCATTGGTTTTCCAACAGCCTCCCTGTTGAGTATCTTCATCATTCCAGTCATTGAAAAGAAGACTTTCTATTTTGGACAATACTTTCCAGTTGAGGGGTCAGCCCAATTTCAACAACTTTACTTCTTTTGCTCTTTGTTGAGTGCAATGTTTTGCCAACTTCTTTGTAATTTTTATACATCATATTTCAGATTTGTGCATACTTGTCTTTACAAATACATCTTTATGGATATCTTTTGTCTTTACATCAGTGTATGTTTGTTTTTAAACTTAGGTGCCTATTGATCATTTTTCTGAAAATACTGAAAAAAATGATTTATCTCCAACAGATGAAGATTTAATGGAAGAGGCCAGATTGCATGTAGCTATAATACAGATGGTAAGAATTGCCCATAATAATCAGATTGATATGATTTTCTTTCTTTAAATGGCTTTTTTATTTCTTAGTATTTTCAAGTGATCCAAAGAGCTATTTGTCTTTGAATACTAAATATTTGATTTTGCCTTCATTCAGAATTAATTTTAAGCCTATATGCTGTAGAGTGTAAGGTTTGTTAATTCTAAGCAGGGGCAGGTAGGTGGTACAGTGGATAGAGCTCTGGCCTTGGAGTCAGGAGGACCTGAGTTCAAATCTGGCCTCAGACATAAGATACTTGCTAGCTGTGTGATGTTGCACAAGTCACTTAACCTCAACTGCCTAACATTAAAAAACATTCTAAGTAGTTTCTATTTTTAAAATTCAATTTTATTTTATTCTCAGTTCCAAATTCTCTCCTCTTTCCTTACCCATTCCTTACTCATCTTCTTGTCTTACCCTACCCATTGAGAAGGCAAGAAAAACAAAGCTCAATACAAATATATATATATATATATATATACATATAGTTATGCAAAACAAATTCCTACATCAGCCATGTTGAATGAAAGAAAAAAAGAAAGAAAAGAAAAATGTATTCTTAAGTCCATCAGGTCTCTGTCTTGAGATAGATAGCATATTTCATTATGAATCTTTTGGAATTATGGTTGGTTATTGTGTCACTCAGCATATGTAAGTCTTTCATAGTTGATTGTCTTTTTAATATTATTGTTATTGTAGAAATTGTCCTGGTTCTGCTCACTTCATTTTCCATCAGTTCATATAAGTCTTTCCAGGTTTTTCTGAAACCATCCCCTTCATCATTTCTTAATACATAATAGTATTCTGTGAGGGACTGTCTGATGTTGGCAGCTGCCAGGTGGACATTGTGGCAAGATTGGGGTAGAATCTGGGTATTTGGAAGTCGAGGCAGGGGCTGTGGTAGGTGGAGTTGTGGTGAACTGGGATGGGCTGGGTACGGAGAAGCCCTGAGGCAGTGGGCAGTGCTATGTGAGATAAGCTGGGTGCAAGGAAGTAGCCGGAGCTTGTGCTCCTGAGGCAAGGGGCGGTGCCACGTGGGAGTGGGACGGCAGAGGACGAGTTCCCTTTGCTTAGTCCCCTCCCTATATGCAACGTCAACCCCAGACACCTCCTTCCTGTGACCTTCCTGACTTCCTGAGTCCCTTTGTGTAGCACTGACCCCAGACGCCTCCTCCTGGTATCTGAGTCTGACTTCCTAGGTCACATACTCTGTCTATGCACTAATCCCAGACGCCTCCTTCCTGTATCCGGTCCTAGCCTCCTGCGTCACTCCCTCTCCCTTGGTGCGCTAAACTCAGACAGCCCCTTCCGGTATCTGACCCTACAATCATTGGCTAGTAGGCGGGCTGAGGAGGAGGGGCGGAGTAGGTTTTGAGGAACGGTCGTGGTCGGGAGCACTCTCTCTTTGCTCCTGCTCTGTTGCTATGGCCTTCCTGCTTGGCCTTGCTGTGATGGCCTCTGAATAAAGCTCTGGTGTTGGCAGCCTCCCGATGGGTCCGTCTCTGTGTGTGTACCCGGGTAGGCTCCGAAGGTGAGTATGACTCTGGCAGCCTGCTCCTTATAGGAGGAGAGTACGGCGCTGCTGGCACAAGGTCGGAGCGGCCGGTACAGTATTCCATCACATTCATATGCCATAACTTGTTCAGCCATTCCCTAGTTGATGGGCGTGCCATCAGTTATCAATGCTTTGCCACCACAAAAATAGCTGCTATAAATATTTTTGTATACATTGGTCCTTTTCCCCTATCTTTGATGTCTTAGTAGCATTATCACTGGATCAAAGGATGTCAGAGTTTAATAGCTTTTTGGGCTTAGTTCTAAATTGCTTTCCAGAATGGCTGGACCAGTTAACAGCTCTACTGACAGCACATTAAATAAAGTGCCTGTTTTCCCACAGCCAATCCAACATTTGTCATTTTCCTTTTTTGTTAACTTAGCCAATCTAATGACCATGAGTCATACTTCAGAGTTGTTTTAGTTTGTTTTTCTCTAACTATTAGTGATTTAGAGCATTTTTATATGGCTATTGATAACTTGGATTTCTTCCTCTGAAAACTACTTATTCATATCTTTTGGTGTTGTTGTTTAGTCACTTTGGTCACGTCCAACTTTTCATGACCCCATTTGGGATTTTCTTGGCAAAGACACTAGGGTGGTCAGACCTTCCATTTAATAGCTTGAATTAATTTCTTTAAGTATTGACTGATTTGATCTCCTTGCTGTCTAAGGAACTCTGAAAAGTCTTCTCCAGAACCACAATTTGAAAGTGTCAATTCTGCGACACTCAGCTTTCCTCATTGTCCAACTCTTACAGCCATACATTGCTACTAGAAAAACTATAGTTTTGACTTTACAGATCTTTGTTGGTGAGGTGATGTCTCTGCTTTTAGGTATGCTGTCCAGATTTGCCATAGCTTTCCTTCCAAGGGACATCTTTTAATTTCATGGCTACAGTCACTGTCTGCAGTGATCTTTGAGCCCAACAATGTAAAATCTGACACTGGTTCCATTTCTTCTCACTCTGTTTGTCAGGAAGTGACAGGACCAGTTGCCAACATCTTCATTTTTTAATTTTAAGCTTCAAGCTAGCTTTTACACTCTCCTCTTTCACCCTGATCATGAAGCTTCTTAATTCTTCTTCATTTTCTGCCATCCAGGTATTTTAGATGGTTTGTAATTACGTTAAATTAAATTAACCTATCTCTTTCTGTTAGATTTTGTTAATCATTTATATTTTGTAATTGGTTCATAGATTTCAATACCCCTCTGCTTAGTGAATTATCATATTGTCCCAGAATAAAATCACTCCTGGATGCTATATAAGAATATGCCAGGTCAAATTAGTTTTTGAAGCAGGCATTATTACTACAAATCTTCAAAATGTATGTGACCTTCTGATGTGGACAGTCTTTCCACCAGTGTAGATCACAACCCCTCCATGGTCTTCACGTATTGTGGGATTCCTGTCCATTTTCTCCCATAAATACTTCATGGATGATCCATCTCTGAGTATAATGGAAGCCTTCTGTTTCAGAAGTCTTAATAATAGTTAGCATTTCTATAGCATTTTAAAGTTTGCAAGTCACTTAACAAATAATATCTCATTTTATCCTCACAACAACTCTGGGAGGGAGGTGCTATTATTATTATCACATTTTACAGATAGGGAAACTGAGTTGGACTCAGGTTAAGTGACTTGCCCAGAGACTTACACAAAGAAGAAAGTAAGTTTATGATGCCAAATTGGACCTCAGGTCTTCCTGAATCCAGGCCCAGCGCTCCATCCACTGTGCCACCTAGCTACCACAATTTCAACATTTAGCTAACATTTCATAAGTACCATATTCTCTCACTAGATGACTGGTTCACCTCCTTTCTGAATTGTACATTTCCTGGATGTCATAGCTTTTACATCAATTCATATGCACAAGTCATCATGGATGTTTAACAGACTACGTACATCTATCATGCTTCTTTCCATCACCCTTTGGTTCATTTGTAACTTAGGTTCTTTGGAGATTGTGGTGTTCCATGGTTTACCAACTTTTTACAGTATAGTCAATGTTAGTTTTAAATAGATTTATTATTTTATGGATTTATTATTTATTATTGGGGTTGTTGAAAGTGCCCAGTTTTCTAGTGTGATCCAACCTCAAAGCCCAGCTAGGTGTTGCAGTGATACAGCACAAGATTTGGAGCCAGGAAGACCTGACTCCAATACTTACTAGCTGTGTGACCCTGGGCAAGTCACTTAACCTCAGTTTGCCTCAGTCTCTTCATTTGTAAAATGGGGGTAATAATAGCACCTACCTCCCAGGGTTATAGTATGGATCAAATGAGATAAAGTGCTTCGAAAACTTTAAAGCTCTATATAAATGCTGACTATTGTTATTATTATCATCATTAACTTATCTTCTTCCTTCTGTTCAAATGTGAGCCTAATTCTTTGTTCATCTCTAGTGCCTGTCTAACATATATGTACTAATATAAGGGATCAATTAAATGAATTGCCCATCCAACTCTATATCATGGTCTAGGCAATAGGCATTTTTGATCCATCACTAATTCAGTAATAATACACCACTTCCCATTCAGGCCATCTTACCATCTACCTGCTGCTGCTTCTCCCTACCTGCACTAGCACCTTCTGTATTAGACCTCAACCTCAACACCCCAGACTTCTTTATTACATTTAGAGTCTTACAAAACAAATAAAAAATATATTCTAGATTCTCTCCTGCACTCATTTTTGCCACAGGAATCGAGGTCCTAGGGCTTGTCAAACAGGTGTGACTGGTGTCACATTGCTATCTTGATTAAGTTTGAGAGTATTTCCCCCAGCGTGCCTTGGCAGCATGGCCAATAGAAACAGATCCCGTAGAGCTATCATCTGGTATTGATTTTTTGCCTGTTTCTTCTGAGGACTTGCAAGAGTCACAAAGGACACAATTCTTCTCTGGCCACCATGGCTGCTAAAATGACGAAATGATTCTTTATTTCCTGTTTGTGGATATTATTTTTGCTCCCCAACCTTCCCTCTGTCATGGCAACAGGGCTGAGAGTGACATAGAAAGAACTCAAATTTATCTAGGTGTTTTGTTGGCCTATATAGCTCCAGAAAGGAGTTATGAGATTCAAGCTTGCAATGCAAAACAAAACAAAACAAAAACAGCTAAAATTCCTCCCAGAAACACTAGCTTCTTCATTATTAGTAAGGCACATCCCTTCTTCTCATCGCTTTGATCCTTATAGGCCTTGTTCCCTCCACATCCTCTGCAGATGTTGTCCTACACATCCTACTTCTGTTATTTGCATTTATTATATTGTCAATATATATTGTCATGGCCTTGCACCAAGCCAGTCTAGTAATGAGTATAAATTTCTCCATTATCCTGGTGACAGTTTTATTGTGCTTGCATATTGATGCCTTAGTTCACTTCCTGATAACCCCAACCTGGAATCTGATAATTTGGTCTTGTGGTTTTCAGGGGTTCCTGTTGATGTCCAGTAATTCCTGTTGGGTTAGTTCCTTTTGCCCTTTCTCCCCTTCTTTAAGATAAAAAAGCTTGAGGGAAATAATAAAGTTATAGAATCCTAAGTGATATCAATAACACTGAATCTAACAAGATTATTTCTCAATATTATTAAGGCTCATTTTTGGACTGGAATGGGTCATGCTGGCTCAAGTCCCTCAATCTCTTTTCACCATTATTGAAAATTTTATTGACATATTTGCCTATCATTTACTATCATATACTTGAGATATTTTTGAATTGTAAAATTATATATTGGCACAGTGTACAGTTACTTGTGGCAGATACAATTGGGTGTGCCAGTTTTCAAATGGGAAGAGAAAGTATGTCTGCTCTGAGCACAGGAGTAAGCATGAGAAATTCTCAAGATGTTAATGTTACAGCCACAATGTGATGCACAGAGACAGTCTGCGCTCGACCTAAAGGTAGATTGAGAGGTAAACAAGTCAACCTTCACCCAAGGGGAGAACTGGGCTTAACCACAACTGGTGAGCCAGCACCTTAGACTACTACAGAGACTTAGAATCGAGGCAGGGGGCTAGGATGAGGACAAGCTTAAGTTGAGATTGACATCGAGAATGGAGACAAATTGAACTTTGGAAATGGGGCCAATCAATCTTTTTTTTATCTATCTGTCCGTCCATCTGTTTTTCTCTTGCAGGGCAAAATTTCTATAGTCTGTATATTAATTAATTGTAAAGATAAAACCCAAGTATTAAATTAAACTAATGGGAAGAAGGTCGCATCCCTAACCGTCTATTGGGGCAGAATATCTCCTGGAGGTTATGTGTGTGTGTGTGTGTGTGTGTGTGTGTGTGTGTGAGAGAGAGAGAGAGAGAGAGAGAGAAAGACAGAGGGGGAGAGAGAGAGACAGAGAAAGAGAAAGACAGAGACAGAGACAGAAACAGCGAGAGAGAGAGGGAGAGAGAGAGAGACAGACAGACAGACAGAGACAGAGAGATACAGAAAGAGAGAGAGAGAAAGACAGAGGAGGAGAGAGAGAGACAGAGAAAGAGAAAGACAGAGACAGAGACAGAAACAGAGAGAAAGAGGGAGAGAGAGAGACAGAGAAAGAGAGAGGGAGAGAGAGAGAAAGAGAGATATCTAATAATAAGTAAGAAAAAAACCCTGCTTAGGGTGATCTGGGGTTCAGCTGAAAGGGCTGTCCTATTTCTGCCTGGATTATTCCCTTATATAGAATCTTCAAGCATCTCTACACTCAATAGCAAAACAAAGATAAACTCACAAAAGTATGCATGATTGCTGGTTATTTTATTTCTTATTCAGTTCAAAAAAGCATGTATTAGCACATAACATACCTATTATGTGCTAGACATTATGATAGGTTCCAGGGATACAAAGATAAAAGTAAAGCTATCCCTGCCCACAAAGGGCTTACATTTTATTGAAATGATGAAGGATACCTATACTTAGTATCTCACAAAATTCTTTCACTGGGTCAAGACTGCTAGCACATTACATTCATGCTTTATTTACTTATTTATTTAATTGTTTTGTTAATAATTGGTTTTGTTTAAATTGATGTTTAGAGTAGTTTTGAAACGCAGTATAAAGACGGAAGCCTCACAGAAGCAGCAGCTCGGATATTAATTGGAGCATCCAAAAACTATGGGACTGTCCAAGGAAAGTAAGTGTTCCACGTACTTACTGTGCAAATCCTTAATCAAATGTATGTCTCTGCAAAATTGAGTATTATAATATACCACTGACATGGGTTTTTGTAAGGAACATGCGTTGTGTATTGAAAAGTATGATGAAAACGTGAGCTGTTTTTATTGACATCTACAAGGGAGCAAAATGTACAGATTGGAGCCTAAAATGCCTGTGATTGCAGAGCAAAACAAGACCTTCTTCATCCACTTCACCCCACCCTCTATTTCTGTTCTGGTCAGAAACTCTGAGGGTCTTTCCTTCCCAGATTGGTTCTTTTATGAAGGCAAACTAGGCCATCTTTTGCCTCAATTCTTACCTATCCTTTAATTACTGAATGGACATTGTCTCAGACAAATTAAGACTTGGGAAAGACCTTAGCTTAAAAAGGTCAAGGTCTCCCACTGCATCTAGAGCTACCACCAATTATCTTCACCTATGTCCTGCCACTTGACTCTGATGACTGGAGGAGAGAGTGAGGCTGATGACTTTGCATAGCTCTGCCTCACTTAAATCCAATTCACTTGGGGCAACTAGGTGACACAGTGGATAGACCATTAGTCTTGGAGTCAGGAGGACCTGAGTTCAAATCCAGCCTCAGACCCTTACTGGCTGAGTGACTCTGGACAAGTCACTTAACTCTGATTACCTCAAAAAAAAAATTCACTTGCAAGTCAAGACATGACCATCCTGGTGTCATTGGTCCTCTTTGAGAACAAAAGGTGAACAACAACTGCACACCCTCCCAAATTATAGTATGGGCTGAATACAAAGCCAGATAGAGCCAGGCAGTCAAAAACTGTCAGTAGGACCAAAGTTCAACGTCAGGAAATCCCTTTGTTGCAAGGTTACAAATCTAGAGACTAAACTGGAATACACTGTTACATTTGATGAGCTATGGGTGAGGCAATAGGAGGGGGACCAAAATAAGAGAAAGAATGGGAAATAACATGGAAATAATGGCTTTGAGATGATTTGCTTCACTAAAGAAACTGCTCAGGCAAGTAAGGTGTATTAGCCATTCTTTCCTTCCCACTACACAAGCTTAATTACAAGCAAAATTTCTGTAAATTCGAATACCATCTCTCCCCCTAGGCTAACTCTTTGGACTTGAGGCCCTGGTTTGGTAGGATATTACTAGTAGAAAGCTTCTGCCAGCCCTGGGGCATGGCCATTGTATTTAGGTTCCTATATTCTCTCATTAGACTTGTGAGATGTACAACTGTTCCCAGTCTACCAGGTAATAGAGGAAGTCATTGCCTCTGTAAGTACAGAATCTCCTATGGTACAAAATTGTCTTGCCCATCCACAGTCAATAGAAGTGATTTCTATAATTCTAAGTTGATATCCCACATTATGCATATCTTTACCAATAATGTGTCAATGCACCTGTATTCCAGAAAGAGTTTTTATTTGTACCAAAAACTTGTCCTCTGTCCAGTCTCACTGGTTTTATTACACTGCCAATGGACAGCGCTGCTCATTCAACTTGCTCTGGGAGCCACTTCTTTTTGAAAAGCTGTGGACCTCACCTGAAGGGTGATGTTTTCTCTGTGGTTTGGCTTATTCCTGCTGGGAAGTAAATTCAAAGCCCATAGCTTAATGACCTCTTGCCAAAATGTGTCTACCTTAGGAACTGATTTTGCTGCCCCTAGGGTAATGGATCCATAGAAGAAGAATGGAATAAGTCAACAAATCAATAGCCTGGTGTGGTAGAACACACCTGTAGTCTTGGTTGCTGGGAAAGCTGAGGCTGGTGGATTGAATGAATTTGGGAATTCTGAACTTCAGTAGGGATAAAGCTGACTGTATAGCCAAACTAAGTCAAGCATCAATATAGTGAGCTCTGAGGAGTGGAAGGCCTCTAGGTTGCCTAAGGAGGGGGAAACCAATTCAGGTTTGAAAAACAGAAGAGGTTAAAGCTTCCATGCCGGTCAGTTTTGAGATCACGCATGTTCATGACTGCTGCATTTCCAGACTGGAAGTCCCAGTCTCAAAAAAACAAACAATCAAACAAAAACAAGTGAGGCAGAATAATCTTTCCAGAATGAGAAGATTGTTGGGTTGTTGTAAAGAAAGAAGTCCAAAGAGTCAAAGAAGGAGCCCACAGAGAAATGAAATAATGCACATGGCTGGCTTGTGCACTTTCCTTAAAATGGAGGTTCTTGGAAGAATTGACCAATAAGAGGAAAGGTTCTAGGGGCCAAGTTATCTTCCAGGGTGAGAAGCCAGCGAGGAGATAGAAATCCAAAGAGTGAGGAGTAGAGCCCAAGAGAGGAATGAAGAAGTGAATGTCTATGTGTTGTTCTCTATTCTCTCTACCCCATTCCGTCCGCATCAGTTCACATCGAGTGGACAAGGGCCAGAGAATCCTGTGATAAGTCAGGATCCAACTGGCAGGGTTAATAAGTGAATAAACAAACTGGCTATGCTAGAAGACGTATAGTCTGTGTGTGTGCCTGTGCATGTACATGCACATATACCCACACCCACACCTGCACAAAGCCACAGAGAGCTGGATAATCAACAGAGCAAAACTGTAAGCAGGGCCAAGTCCAAATTTAGAAAGTTCAGATTTGGTGAGATAACAAATCCAAGGTTTAAGCATAAACGCATTGTTGAAAGTTCATACACAGCAGATCAAAAACTGGGCAATGATTAAAACTTAAAAAGGAATAGGAAACATCATGGAGGTGGCCAGCAATGGGATCGTTTCATTCACATTCAAGGAAGAACTTGAGGCAGCCTCGCTGTGTGGTTGTCCACGTCATACCACATGGAACAGTTGTGGACTTGGACATTGGTGCACTCTAAAATCCATGGGGATTTTATCAACTCAGTTCCTCTCCAACCAGGACAGATCCCTATTTGCCCTAGATCTACCTATTGTAGGTGACAACTTTGACAGACGGATCAAAACTGATTGTCCATGAAACCCAAACCCTGTGAGCACCCAGGCTCATCAAGATTTTCTCCTTAGACATGGCCCATTCTCAGTTATTCTAGTCTTTCCAACTGGTTAGAATAGATTGACTTTTTGTTATTGTTCTTTCCTTGTATCCCCTGCATTTAGCATAGTGCCTCGAACATAGTTGGTACTTAATAAACACTAGTTTCCTGGTTGACCAACTCATTTATAATATAGATGGGACTTGCCTTCTAGATGCCTACACTGAGAGAAAGCTGGTATTTACCAAGAAACGAGCAGCCCTCTCCTCCAATTGCTTCTCTGGAAGTTCTGGGCCTTCCAGAATGTCTTTAATACATTGGAAACTGAAATCCTACTTTCTCTTCTCCTATTTCGTTACACCATTTAAATCGTGCCCAAACACTGGCCCTGTAGGAAGAACTGGAAGCTGCTTTGTGCTGAGATTTTTTTCTGCCCATCCATCCTTTCTACTTGTGTTCCTGTTCACTATATAAAAAAAGAGATCTTAGAGCTCTTCAGAAAGAATGAGCTCCTAAGAAGTCAGAAGAGTGATCTTTCCAGGGTGAGAAGGCTGCTGCGTTGTAGTGGAGAAAGAAACCCAGAGATTTAGCTATGTAGTGACAACTGAATCTTAAATGCCACCATCAATGACTTTGATGAAGCAATGAAATGGAAAAGGCATAGAAGACTTGCTCATTGGTGATTGTTCTTCATTCTTGAAGAGGGCCAAAATGTCATCAGTATGTTAGAGTCAAGTTACAGTGTGTCTGACTGGGGCTGATCAGACTAATAAGAACTTGGAATGCTCTACCATAGGTTGGGCACAAATAGTCCATGTGAACATTTGAGGTGGATTCTCTAAATTTGTGCATTTTGCATTTCTTTTGAGCTACTTCAATTTTTTTTTTTTCAATTTTTTTTCAACTTCTTTTTTTTCAGTCATGCCATGCTGGGTGGTCCTGCACCAGTGTCTCTCATGTCATGTAATCAATTCCAAAGTTCTTAAGATAGACTTTGAGAGTGTCCTTGCATCACTTTTTCTTTTTTTTAATATTCTTTTTTTATTTTTTAATTTATTTCTAAAATTTTTCTTCTTTTTTAAATTTATTTATTTTTAGTTTTCAACATTCACTTCCACAAGATTTTAAGTTACAAATTTTCTCCATCTTGTCCCTTCCCCTACCCCAAGATGGCATACATTCTGAATACCACTTCCCCTAAATTGCCCTCCCTTCTATCTCTCCCCCTCTTCTCTTATCCCCTTCCCCTTCAATTTTCCTGTAGGGCAGGATAGATTTCTATACCCCATTTCCCAGCTGCATGTGAAAACATTTTTTTTAACATTTGTTTTTAAAACTTTGGGTTCCAAATTTTCTCCCTTCCTCCCTCTCCACCCACTCTCATTGATAAGGCAAGCAACTTGATACAGTGTAGTGAAAATACTTCCATTGTAGTCATGTTGTGAAAAACTAAGTATGTTTTCTTTAATTCTATCCCCCCCATTTATTCTATTCTCTCTTTTGACCTTCTCTCTCCTTAGAAGTATTTGCTTCTGATTACCCCCTCTCCTAATCTGCCCTCCCCTCTATCATCTGCTTTCTTGTCTCCTCCCCTCCCTCCCATTTTCCTGTAGGGTAAGACAGATTTCCATACCCAATGGAGTGTGTATGTCGTTCCCTCCTTAAGCCAAATCCAATGAGAATAAGATTCACTCATTCTCTCTCATCTTCCCCTGTTTGCCCTCCACTGTAAAAGCCTTTTCTTGTCTGTTTTATGTGAGATAATTTACCCCATTCTACCTGTCCCTTTCTCTATCTCCCAGTATAATCCTCTCTCACCCCTTAATTTTATCCTCCAGATATCACCCCTTCATCTTCAACTCATCCTGTGCCCTCTAATTATCTATTTATCTATCTATCTGCATACATATAATTTTTTTTGCTCCAACTACCCTAATACTGACAAAGGTCTCATGAGTTACGAATATCTTTCCATGCAGGAATGTAAACAGTTCAACCTTAATAAGTCTCTTATGATTTCTCTTTCCT